ACATTCAGCACCCGTCCCGTCATGGTGTTGCCCATAACGGCAGCAGGCCTTCGGACGTTGGCAGGCGATTTTCTTATGGCCAAATCCGTTACAATTGTGACATTGTAACGGTCTGTCTGTGAACGGTGAGACTGGATAGCGAACGTGCCCTAGAAGCACGTAGCTTGGCAGCTTAGTGCTGGAGAAGGCGACCTTCACGACGCGGGAGTGTCCAAGTCTCCGAACGTTGGCAATCTTGCAGCATGCGTCTTCAGCGCGAAGATTGCGCGCAATATCGTCTTCTGTGATTTCAACGTCGACGCCTTGGATGACACCGTACGAAATGGGCCCTGACAGTGGGGAGTAGGTTCTTACTGGAACACCGCAGAGCATTGCAGTGTTCAGTAGAGTTTTCGCTGCCTGCCCGTTGCGAACATCAACAGCGATCAGGTTCAGCCGATCGTTGGGGCGCACTTGGATGATGCACTCTTGGCAGAGCTTCTCAAGGGCTTCGGAAATTTTCAGGCTGTTGAGCGCTGTAAGTCTAGTCTCTTTTTTCACAGGAACGAAGATGACAGTGAGGCTGGTGTTATCTTGCTTCTTTGGTTGTTGCGGAACGTCTGGAGATGAGTCGCTGTTCTTTGGACGACAGCGCTTTCTGCCGGATCTGCGCCATTCGCCTCCGGAATCTTCGCTCTCCATGTTGGCGGTCTCTGAGCAGACAGATCGACTGCAGTCCTGGGATTCATCGAGTGCGCTGCTGGCCTGGTGTTGTGCTGCCGTGATGGATATGTCGTTTTCGGAAAGAAACATACCAGCATGCATCCCTTTTCTTGCTGTGCAGGGAGCTGCCCTAGCTCCTGCCGTCCGAGTAGACCCCCAAAGTCCAAGGGACCGACGAAGTTGCGTAGAATAGCAAATTCCAGAGATAGAAGCTTTTGCATTCCGGCTCAGATCACTTCGTCGTCTTTCCTCTCAGGGTAAACTGAGTAAACGACGAAAAGGAATCAAATGTTTGTCTTCAGTATTCAGTATTCAGTTGCACCAAAACCCTTTCGCATCAGGGCGGTCGTTCCGAAAGGAACGTCGCAGGCGCGTTAAAAAGAAAAAAATGTTGATATGACGTTAAGAAAGAAAAATAACAGAAAAAGAGAAACCACCAAAAATTTGTGTCCACCACTTGGTCCGTAACTCCAGACGGTCTGACTTGGCTTGGCTCCCATGTGACCCGTTCGTCCGCTACACGGCGACACTACAGCGCCACAGCGGCAACACTGGTCACAGACTCTCACAAGTCGCAACAGCCGCCGCGGTCTCAGTGGAGTCACGACATCGGACAACTGATGCGCAGACCTCAATGAAAGTTTTTGAGGTGGGAGGCTCTGTGTCGTCCTGGCTCGCTGGGGCCCGGAGGGCTAGCTGGCTTCGGACTCCTCAGCAGTGCGGCAACACTTTTCCCACCTTGCTAGGTGACGCTTCGTCGCTTCCACCAGCTCTGCCTCGCGTTGTTGAAGCAGCGGCTGTGGTGGTCCTGTGTTCTGCCGCTGTTCGTGTTCTGGGTGTTTCACCAGGCCCAGGACTTCGTCGATGGCCCTTCCTGCCGTTTCGCTTGGTTGTAGACGCGGGCACTGGCCGAAGATGTGATTGATGTCCTCGTCCCCGAGGCCACATAGCCTGCACGTCGCGTCATCCCCGAAGAGCTCTTGTCTTCTTTTCCGCGTGAGCAGTGCGCCGGTCCGGGCCTGGAAAAGAAGGGCGCTCGCTCTGTCTCCCCGATAGTGGTGGTAGGGAGCTGGTGCACTCTTGCGTTCCCGATATCGGGCGAGCGACCGCTTCTTCTTCATTGCCTCTTGCGACAGACATGTTCCCCTCGCAGTGATCTCCGTTCGTGTTGTCCTTGTCCACTGTTTCTCGCCAGTGGCCGCATGTCGCTCTGTGCCTGCACTAAATTTGCTGTCTATGGCCGTTATTCTCCTAATCCACCCTGTTCTAATTCCCCGGTACTTATGTGGTGGTACATTCGCCTGGCGTACCTTTCGCTGGATAGGAACGCCAGGCGACCAAGGTAGTGGGACTTCGATTTGGCCTCTCTTACCTCGTGGGTCGACCACCCCATTTCCCCCGTCACGCTGCGCAGCAGTTTGCTCCCAGGAGCCACCGTCCTATCTCGGTCTGATGTCTGTCGAGAAGTTTCAGTTGGGCTGATCCGAGTGCTACCGCGTCGTTTGCATATGTTATTGCTGGGACTGCTGTTGTCTTCCATAGCGTTCTTCCTACCGCATATGTATTGTAAGAGTGTCTCGCCAGATGCCAGACTTTTCCCTTCAGCTTGCTTGATTTTGCCACCACTGCTGCTTCGTGTTTGGCCAAATAGTCGTTAGTGTTCTGGATTTTGATACCTAGGTATGTGTATTCTGTAGTTTCTTCGAGCTGTTGGTTTCCAATGTGGAAGTTTGCTGTCTTCGTTGAATTGAACGCCATCCACTGAGTTTTATCCTTGTTAAACCGGAAGCCATCTTGGTGTGCTACCACTCCACAAATGTCCAGAAGGTGCTGCATATCCGCCTCGGACTCGGCGAGCAGCACCAAGTCGTCTGCAAAGGCGAGGCAGGGGATCCTGGTGTACTCCTGATCGCCTTCCTTGATCACAGTTGTAAAGCGAAGCCCAGGGCCTTTTTCCTCTAGTTCGGCAATCAAGTCATTGATGTAGATATTGAAGAGCGTAGGAGACAGTGGACATCCCTGTCTCAGTCCGATTTCTGTTGATACATCTTCCGAGGTGTATGGTCCGAATTTGTAGGAGGCTTTGCAGTCTTCATATAAGCTTTCTAGTAGTTTTATGGTCTCAGTTTCAAATCCAATATGTTTCATTTTCCTCCACAGTTTGTCATGGGGGACGGCATCATAGGCTTTTTCAAGATCCAGGAATGTCAAAAACAATTTAGACTTCTCGTAATTTTTCAATTCTATGGCCTGGCTCAGAGTAAATATGTTGTCGCTAGTTCGTCTGTTGGGTCTGAATCCATTCTGTGCTTCGCTTAGAATGTTCGCCTTTTCGCATATATCTTGCAGTCTTCTGTTAAGCATGCTCGTAAACAGTTTGTAGACGTTGCTTAGGATTGTAATTGGCCTGTAGGAGTTTAGGTCCATACGGTCTTTACCTTTTTCTTTGTAAATTAGTTGGATATTTGCCTCTTTCCAGGGCTGTGGTATTACTTTTTTTTCTAATATGTCGTTATAGCAGAGTCTTAAATTATCCAGTGCCTTTGCTTTTAGTGCTTTGAGGAATTCATTGGGAATGTCGTCCCTGCCTACTGCTTTCTGGTTTTTTAGTTTTTTTACTTGTCTCTTTAGTTCCATCTTTGTTATAGGTTCGGTCATAGTTTCCTTCTGGCTTGCCGCTTGTTTGGGCTTGTCCCTTGGATCTCCTGCTGGTCGTCGCAGTTTATTTTGCTGGCTCCTGAAGTGCTCAGTCAGCCAAGCCTCAATTGCCTCTCGTGTAGTGAGAAGTTGTCCTTGCTTCTCCAACATGTGTTCCTGTGTAGAGTTCTTTTTCGGTTTCATGGAACTAATAAAATGCCAATATTTCTTGCTCCATGTCTTCCTGTCTCCTTGAATCTCCCTCTCAGTGTGTTTGTGACAGCATTCAATTTTTGTTGCCACCAGTGCCTTTACCCTGACTCTTTGCTCTTCGTAGCACTCCCAAAGGCGATCGATGTGGCTTTGTGGATCTCCTCTTTTCTGGGCCCATCTATGCTGCCGGCTCCATTCACGCCTTTTCCCAATTTCTTTCTTTATCTCCCCATCATACCACGGTCTCCTGTTTTCTCGGTATCCTCCCTTGCTCTTTCCCACCTGGACATTGGCTGTCTGAATTATTTGGATCGTCACCTAATCTAAGTCTTTCTTAGACTTAGGTTAGGTGACGCAAGCTACCGCCCGCTACAAAAGGTATAGCCAGTAACATCTATTCATTTAATTAGGCATACATCTGTCCATATGATGCATATCAACTCATATGGTCTAAATAAATAACAAAGTGTTCCATGTTATCTTCTATATGCTTATTTCCCTGCGAAGAGACAAAATGCACGCGTGTTTTTCCATGGAATGCACAGGAGCACCACAAAAGTAGACTGATTTCTTGAAATGCTGTATAGACGCTAGCGCCATTTGAACCTCTAGTGCATATTATACAACGTTACTAAAACACTCAGTTGGGAAACTCGCCGTCGAAACCTGGGCCGCTGGTGTCCACCGTGACCGAGCTAAATGCGACAACAGCGCCACTCTTTATCGTTTGTCTGTACTGTGGTTACCTTGAGCTTTTCGAAAGCCTGTTTTTGCGTAAAAACAAACGGAAAAGACTCTTTTTGTATGAAATTTATTGGAGATTAGTACAAAAAGAGGGGCGCGTTATGTTTTTAAAATCTTTAGTTTGCAGGGTTTTGCGGCAGAATAAATATTGTTTTTATACAACCATGCCTAAGCGCTGCTTTCAGGTAGCGCGTCCGGACCTAGGTGCATTTTAACTTCGGTATTTCGACGCGGCGCGTCCGCCGAGGAGACGGGGGTGGCACCCCTGTAACCTCTTCCACTGTATCTGTTCTTAAAGCCAAAATAGAAGTGACGTGCAGTTCCTCGAGTGGCCGCTGCGGGAGAGATGGTGGCGTTGTGTTCGTCATTAGCTCGGTGCTCGCAGACGGATTGGGGCCATTTTTTCAAAGTTGTCTCTATGGGAGTTTCCCAACTGAGTGTTTTAGTAACGTTGATATTATAATAACTCTATGCACTAGTGACTCTATGCGTTAGTTTGAATCTGACCTAGATAAATATGTTCGCTCGTTTCGTGTTTATTTATTATGTAATAAACCAGATAAATGAAACTTGGCAGAAGAAACGAACAAATAGTTGTTTTATTGTGAATCGCAAAATAAATGAAGGACACTGGCTAGGTAGCGCTATCCACCGCCTATTTATACCCAATTCAAATTATTTTGCCTCCTCTATTCATTAGTATAGCGTTTAATCTCGAACCCAGTTGACAGTGTGCAACTGGCGTTGGTGTGTGTAGAGGTGCAAAGAACAGGCGAGTAATACCATTTATTGCCTTTAATTCCCCTTACTTTCAAATGTTACGTCGCAGCGGTGACCGTATAACGTCCGGCGTTGAATGAGAATCGTCACAGTTGTTGTTGACGCTCTTCTAAAACGTGTAAAGCTTCGTTTGCCGTGTGTCACGTCCGCGGCGTTGTTTTTCTCACCCGATCCCTCTATTTGGCAGCGTTCAACGTGCACATCGAATGGATTTTCTTATTGCTAGACGCTTCTTGAGGTCCCATAAACGTTGTCCCATTCGTTATCTTCAACTATTAAATGTGAGCGGTCAGAGATCCGATGCGTCTCTTCTCCGAAGCGTTCAAAGCGGGTCTCCATGCGCCGATTTCTTTCGCGGTTCTTCGTTGTATGGGAAAAATCCTAGTGATCTAGATTTAATCCTTGGAGGCTTTGTTCACAAAGCTCGCGAACGTTTCTAAGGAACGTTTTAATGTACTTGTTTGTTTCTCATTGCATGCTGTGCCGCGTCCGCGATCGTGCTTGCGATGTTGAGCGACCTGTGTCGCTTCAAATCGCCGAGTTTTGACCTCCATTGCAACGCCGAATGGTAAATTGCGCCCCCCCGTTTCGGCGTTTGCCACGAGAAAGTCAAACGTGCGGGGGAACCAGAGTGGTACGAACAAAGTGAATACGCAGAGAGGTAGCGTCGACGCGATCGGGAATTTCGTTGTCGCCTCGTTCTCGCAGGATTTTTATCCTGCGAGAATTTTGTAGTTTGTCTATTTTTTTTAAACTACTATTACGTATTACGTAAAAAAAAGAAAACACCTACGGTTGATGGCTTACCCTATTCGTGGCAGCCGGAAATATAACCAGTTTGCTAGCCGGATTTAAATCGGGATTGAGACATTTGGGCTTGTCATTTCAAGAAATAGTGGAAGACAACAACAAAAAACAATTCTAGCTTTTAAAGAGACCATCGTAAAAATCATCACCTGCACAGAATTTCGAGAGTAGAATGGAACCACCAGGTTGTACAACTTGAAGAATGCAGTGCACGCAATAAAGCACAAAAAACCAACTGCCGCGACTGCTGATCCCATCCTAGCCGGTATTCCATAGTCTTCAACTGAGCTTTCCTTGCTGCACTACCAAGATGGCAGCAGTCCTCCAGGCTGATCTCTTGCTATGTGCTTGTTGTGAGCTTTGCTTGACAAACGTCTCTTGACAGCAGTCCGTTCATTGCTCCAGTTTGAGCGTGTTGAGGACGTTACATTGGTACATAGCTAGGCTTTGCAACATCCCAGTCTGCTGTGGTACTTTCATGGGTGCCTCTGGGCAGCGTTTCCTTGTCGCCATAGCCACGTCCACTGTTTCCGGCGAGCTTCCATTATGCGTTATGCATTTTGCACGTTTGATATTGTCATTCTTAGCAGACACGTGAGGGTTTTGAAAGAGTGAGGGTTTTGAAAGAGTGAGCGTAATTGTAGTGGCTGTGGACTACGAGCTGTCCACTATGTCTATGAGCAAAAAGTTTGGGCTCAAAAGAGCTTTAATCTTATGCAACTTTTCATTGTGTTGTGAGGAAATCTCAAGCTCGGAACTCTAAATGGCATGCCTCAACTAACTGCCTGCTCGTTCCTGCATGTAATGACTTCTGAAAGGCTCTTCTAAGCCTGCCTAGGGGGTGCGTGAACTTATTTTCGTTCGGTGTCACCTATTAAAAAGTGGGCTAAAGCTAATTGTGGCGAGGGTTACACAAAGACGTTCTCACTCTCTAGGCACGCAACATCTGTTTGTTTGGACAATTTCCCTACCGTCAACATGAAAACATTTTTTCATACCATGTGCAGGCGCATCTGTTTGTTTCTTTGCGGAGCACCATGTCGGACCGGAGACGGCGGAACGTGTCGGACCTGGGTCCGCCTCCGCGATGGCTCAACTGCCCCAGAAAGGGAGACCTTGTAGCAGGTAGTAGACGTTGCTTACTTCTAGCGCTATGCCACAATCATTGCTCTTCTTTTTTTGCAGTCTGGTAAGGACTGACCTTATGTCCTCCGCTCTCCCTCGGTCAGAGAGGACATAATCGCGGCCACTAAATTTAGCTAATTCCAGAGGCCTGCATTGAAACTCTAAGGAGTTCTTGTGTGTCCTGAAATTATACAAATTTTTCAATTTGTGAAAATTAAGGGCTCACAAACATTAAAGGTTTTACAGTATTCGTATCTGGATGTGAGAAATAAAATGTTGTCGATGTAGTTAACCTGCTCCCGTTTTTTTTGCTCCCAGAGAAGTTCTTGCCGTTCAAGACTCCGCTGAGCGGCGTCTACGACTCCCAGGTGCCGGAAGCTAACCGATTCTACCCTTCCATGCTGCTGGCATCGTTGGCGAGATACAAGGTCAGCTTATTGCACACTCGGTTGCATACACTTTTTGCTCGATGGATGGTTTCTTCAAAGAAGTGGAAACTCGGGGGTCAACTTGGAAACGAGGATGCAATTTCGGTTGACGATGATCGTCTTCATCAACCGTATGTTTGTTACGCCGCCTCGTGGCCGTGCTCGGAACTACCTGAAACGGACGCGCCGTCGAGGCCATCTCAACTATTCCCGCTGCAGGTTGGCAAGCATCGGACGTCCGTTAGCTAGAAACGCCGTGCACCTTGAACCACAGTCCGCAGTTTTAAACGTCGTTTTGGCTGCCGAAAATTTGCCAAATCCTCCAGGCCCACCGAGACGTCGAGGAAAAGAATGTGCGCCAATGAAGAAAACAGCACGCTCGGCCGTTTAGTTGCGCTGCAACGAGGATGGCATTCTCGGGACCGCAAAGAGGTTGACATCCTGATGTAGAAATGGAGCTCGTAAGCTTCGTCAAAACACGAAAAGCATCGGCACTTCCTGAGGCCACGGAAATTATTTGAGCCTAAGCGAGTGAAGTTGCAATAGCAGGAGGTGTGACTCGAACGGAGTTCGAAGCAAAGGGGGGGTGGTCCGAAGGTTCACGAAGCGATTTGGGTTTAGTCTTTAGCGACGAACATCAGTTTGCCGGAAACTTGCAACCGATTACTGGGACGAAGGGGCAAGGCCGATCGGACGCCAGTTTATTTCGACGCGCTAGTGGCGTACGCAGTAGACGAAAAGGGCACAAAAGAAGATTCGGTCGGCCAGATACGAGGAAGAGCGGACATTGTGCCGCCGAGTTTTCGATGGACGCGAGCTTGCATCGTTTTCGAGCAAGCTCACTGGAGACCCAAAAAAGGTGTTTGTGCAGATGCACAAGAGAGGTTATGTGACTAGTGGCCTGGTTGAGAGGTGGGTCAGGCTGGTTAGGCAATGCCGTCCAGGTGCTAGCTGCACGAGGGACTTCTGGACTCGCACCGCAGACACCTCGCAAACTCTGTCAAGATTGAGCGAAGGGGAGACGGTCATCATTCCCGGAGGCGCGGCGAGCCAGCTACGGCTGTTGGAGGTTGCGACGAAGGACGCAACCCGCGTAGAGCTTGCGTAGAAGACTGGCTCCAGAAGGCTTTACGCGGGTCGGTTAACCAAACGAGACTCGAGCTAACTTTGAGCTGGATTGCGACCGCATGGGACCGCATTCCAGCTGATATGATTGTCAGATCTTTCCGTAAGTGCCGTATCTCCGATGCATCGAACGAGACTGAGGAGTTTTTCGGAACATAAAAGCGCTTTGAGACGGACGTGAGTAGGAACGACGCAACACAATGCGCCGACTTCGACCGTTTAATTGCCAGAAAATCGAGGGTATAAATACGCCGCATCGTGGCGTCATTCGAGCAATCCCACGCCACGCCAGTGCTCGCGAGAACTGCATCTCTTTGTCGCCCAAATCGATCGACGCCACGCCGACACGTCAATCCCCGTAGTTTTTTTATCGGGTCTGTCTCTGACTTCCCTTACCGTCTTGTCTCTATGTTTTCTAATGACCGTGCACCAATGAAATTCAGGTTTGCCCCCACAGTCGTGGCAGTGCATCGACAAATGACCGTCACGCTGTCCGCTCACGTTTTGGTTGTGTTTGCGCAGTCTGTCGTTTAGACAGCTTCCCGTCTGTCCCACATCCTTTTGGCCGCACGTCAGCTGGATGTGATCGACAACTCCTTCCGCACATTCAACGAATGGGCCGCGATTCTTTTTCACGCAGCCAACCGGTGGTTAGCGGTACGGGTCCGTCAGCTTGCGCAACTTGGCAAGTTTTTCCGGCGCAGAAAAAACCCGAGCATTTATTGTGCGCGGTTTTGCGCATGTAAGGCCACTTTCTTTTGGGCCATATCTCGATCTGGACTCGCTGCTACTCGTAGCTTCTTTAAAAGCCTTTCTGCACTCGACACCGGGAGCGTCCCCGGAAAACCGGCAGCCACCGAGCGTTCCGACTGCTCCTTCCGACCCGAAGGCATCGCATGACGACGCGACCTTCCGATGGCGTTCACGAAGCGCAGATTTACAATTCCTCTCTTGACGAGTTTCGAGTGGGACGAAGTGAACGGCAACGGGGGCTCATTTGCTCTCGGTTGGTATTTCCAACACGCAGGTTGCTCCGAAAGGGTGAGCCTAAAAACTGTATGATGTTATCCGCAGGTACATTGTGCGTAAGCTTGAGAGGATCTGGGACGTTACTAAAAACTGTTAAAAGGCTGTTCACCACCGAGGGGAAGTGAGTGGGGGGGCAAACCTGAATTTAATTTGCGTACTGTTATTAGAAAAGGAAATCATAGAGGCAGACCCAATAAAGAAACTACGGGGTGGATACGTCGGCGTGGCGTCGATCGATTTGGGCGACAAAGAGGCGCAGTTCTTGCGGGCATTGGCGTGGCATGGGATGGCTCGAATGGCACGATGACGCGGAGTATTTCTGCCCTCGATGTTCTTACAATTAAACGGTTGAAGTTAGCGCATTGTGTTGTGTCGCTCCTACTCACGTCGTCCCTGTCTGAAGCGGTATTGTGGTCTCAAAGTTGGGGCACCAACTTGCCCCAGAATGCGCATTACTCAGCCGCAAGACTGAGGACCATGCCTTGTGGGAGGAGAGGGACAAAGTGTCTAGTGAGGACACCGACGACCTACAAGCACGCTGACAGTTTGGACGTTTTTGCTAGTTTTCTGCTCAAAAATGAATGTTGTTCCATTTTAATTTTTTTTTTTTTTTCGTTTTTTTTTTATAAGTTTACAATGAAGGATTTTTTAAAAATTTTTTATTATCCGAATTCCGAGGTTTGGCTTAGAATCAATGTCGGCCTACGTTCGCATAAATACGGTAAGCCACATAGCCGGAAAGTTGAGCCCAACGAACTGCGTGAGGAAGGCAAAGAAAAAGTGAAAAGCGTTCTCTCTTTTATCTGTGGTCACCCGGGACCATAGAGATCATACATACTAACTCTAGGGGAAAAGGTCCGCCATTTTCCCATGCATTCTGGCTGCCGCAAGCGGCGGAGTATGCAAGCAGACCCTCGGGGTCCCACATGGTTACCAACTGCCTTCGATTTCACAAATATATCATCAGAGCAGTTTCATGAACTTCAACAATCCACAAACTTACTGGTGGAAAGATATTCACGTTCCTTTCGAAGCTTTCTTTTTGCATAGCGCGCACATGTGCGGCCTCGAGTCAACACTAAACTAAACCAGATAACCGGCTTCGGTTATGTGGTTTAGTTTCGTATTTCCGTGCGCGGGTGGCCGCGCCCGGAAATACGAAACCGCGCAACCACCAGATTTTCGAGATTCCAACAGAAGGGAAGTTAATGCAGCGTAATGAGTATGCTGCTTTTTTTATAAACCTTAGAATAGCTCAGAATTTAGTTTGCAACATTAAATTATCACTGTTTATATTGCTGAGAGTTTTCAGTCTTTGCGATTACCATTGCGACTGTCGTCCTTCAGCTGGCAATATCGGTTTCTTTCTCTCGTGTTCTGTCGCTCTCTTTCGCGATCTTTCACTCGGGACCCAGGATGTTGGCGCGCGGGATTTCCCACTCCTCCTCACCCACCTTTACCCCCCTGCCCGGGACAGTTCCGCCAGGAGGTCACCTGGCAGGGGTCTGCCAGGTGACCATTTTCCCGCAGAGAATGGGGAGAGCCGGTCAAAGAGGTCGGTAGTTGGGATCTCGGCAGCACCGAGCGCGACTTCTCGTACGCCCAGAATTTGTTGCGGGTCGTAAGGTTGGAAAAGGTGCTTTTGGCCGAGAAATGCCGGTCGATCCCAGAAGGTGCTCGACGATTTCCGGGTTACCGCAACGTGAGATGCCTTTTTGGTGGGAGAGATGACTGGCATTTGTGACGGTTGCTGCGTCTCCAGGTGAAGCTGGGCCTCTGGATCGACCTGACCAACACGGGCCGGTTCTACGACAGGAAGGAAGTGGAAGAATGTGGCGTCAAGTACCTCAAGCTGCAGTGCAGGGGGTGCGTGCCGACCGGCGGCGATGCGATTGCTACGCCCAAGTGCATGCCCCGCTACCTCTCGCTACATGGGGCCCAAACGGGAGGTGCCATCATTGCTCCAGAACTATTGGAAATAGAGTGCCGTCGAGACCGGTTATAGCTTGGGCTCCGTGTTTTCGGAGTTTAGTTTTCGTCAGAATCGGAGTGTTTTTCGGAGTTTATTTTTTGCCGAAGATTCGCAGTTTATCATTTTTTGATTCCCAATTCTCCAAAATTCAGAGTTTAGTTTCGCCGTGTTTCCTATTAAAAATAAATAAATAAATAGTCGAATGTAATGGTAATGCGAGATAAAAAATAAAATGCGCTAGTATCAATTGAAATATCTTCGGTTGAATTCGGCGTTGGTGCCATTGCCATTGGCAATACTAATTTATCCACGACAAAAGTCACACACAAGTGGCGCTTCGATAAGTGCCGATACCTTAAAATCGATAAACTCCCGGAGGTAGTCGCTAGGAAGCCCTATGGTCCATAGCTTTCACTGTTACCAATACATACCCTTTCCTTTCTCTAAATCACAAATCGCATGGCCCAAACTGGAAACCAATACGGGGGCTTTTGTCGTGACCCGAATGCACAAGGAACGACCTGTTAGCCTGAATCAACCTTGAAGAGACAAGCGGCAGGACCCCTTTTGGCATCGGTCGAAGAATTGAAAGATTATTATGGTGGAATTTTCCCAGGACCATTAGCTCTGTGCTAATCAAACTAAAAAAAAAAAAAAAAAGTCCTTTACTTTTTTTTTTTGCCGGGGGGGGGGGGGGGGGGGGGTAGGGGTAGGGGTAGGGGTAGGGGTAGGGGTAAGGGTAGGGGTAGGGGTAGGATCTGGCATTGACACGTAAATATTCGGAGTTTATCGGATAAATCCGAATTGACCAAAATTTTACTGGCGGGCGTTTTTCGGATTTATCCGAAAACACGGAGCCCTAGTTGTAACCGAGTCAACGGGAATCGAAAATCACTGCACTATACCCACTATTTCATTATAACCGACTTTGGTTATGACCGGTCTCAACGGTAGTTCCGACCCCGGTACAGCATTGAACGGTAGGCACGCGCAAATTTATGAAAGTTTATAATCAAAGGACAAATGCTTTGTTTTCCATCCGAGTTAAGAGTTTGTCTTATTGCACCCTCGGGAGCTTGAATGAAGCATCAATTTGGGTGCTCTAAATGTTTCTATTTCACCGGTGTTCGAGTGAAATGGTTTAGCTCGGACGGGGTACCTAAGATTTTAATTTATACTTTGCTTTAACGATGGGCACATTGTCGCCGTATCTGGTGCTTCTACAGACGCCACTCAACAGTTGCTGGTTTCAGGGAATCCAACCGGCTGTGCGATTCGTGCCACAAAAGGTTGCGCGGGAGGAGGAAGGCAAAGGAGCTATTGTCTTTCTGTTCGCCACACAAATTTTAACCTAGTGGTATTTTGCAGTGGCATAAGTGGAAATTTGCTTCAACAGTTAGTTTTGCTGCTCCAAAAGGGGATTTTTGGCCGCTCCAAAAGGTACCCTAAAGCGACTCGGACCGGTCGTGTCACTGGCCGTGGGGGGGGTGCTACGTAGCGAGGCCGAGAAATAAAAAGGTTGCGCGACAACTCTTCGTCTTCCTTAAAGAGATGCGTAATTGAAATTTGTATTTTGCAAAATAAGGTAGCAGAAGTGTTTGAGGGGTGCTGCAAGCCCCGAAATAGCGCTCGTAAAGCTGTGTCTCGAACGGATGGCCGTATTTTTTGTAAAATTAGGATCCGACCGAGTGAGAATCCCGACGCCTGCAGAATAGTTGAGGAGGAGGGGAAACTTGCTTGCTTCCCTCATCACGTCCCCATGGAGTCAAAGCGAGGAGGAAACACCGGCCTCTTTGGCCCCAGTTCAAGCGCCCTCTTTCACAAAAATACGACCACCCGTTGGATGTGTCGCTTCGTGGCCGATGCTTTCGGCTTTGTAGCGTCCCGCCTAGCGCTTCTGCCTCGTTTTCTGAAATTAAAATTTCGCATCCCTTTAGACATAGGCCTTAATTTCGAGTGTTTTTGAAAAAGTTCATTTTTCAAATTTGATGAGCATACGTCAAATAGTTAGGTGATATAAAATATTTTCGACACATTGTGAGCAAGTAACGGACCAAAGGAGCTCACTGTTTGAATGCATTTTTCTCAGTTCCACTTTTTGCTGCAAATTTCGTACGAAGAAATTTTTTGTTCGAAGGTAGAAGTATCCTGATACCACATTCAAGATGTTTCTGAACTGAAATTTATTAAGGAATCGGGCTATCTACTTTATTTTCTTTTACCTTTAACTCCTCATTGGGGAAAAACAATGTTTTCAAAAATTGACATAGGACAGATATGCAACTCATATTTTCAGGTCATCACTCTTCCTGAAATCATTTGAATTACAAAAAAACTCCCCACAGCCCACATCTATATTTCTTCTACCCCCACTGGGGAGGTAGAAGAAATATAGATTAGGAGAAAATTGCCAGAAGCCACGTGGCTGTGCTACTTTTTTTTCTTCAATCGGGGAATTTGCAGTTTTTTTTAGAAGCCACAAAATAGGTGCGTCGTATGTCTTTTCTATTTTAAATATTGAGGGTGTGCCTCCGGTGACCCTTGACTTTGATTTTCTTTGGTGGTTGCGTCTAAACTGTAGAGAATGGCACGTGACCCCGAAGAAGAGAGTGAGCGTTACTCCAACCGGCCAGTTCTTGATCGGTGGTTTTCGGGCGGAAAGAGAATGTATTTTGGGCAACAAACGGTGTTCTGGGTAGTTGGGCTCTCGCGTGTCTTGTACCTTGGATCGGGCAAAGTTTGCCTGTAGCTCGAACGAGGGCTCTGGGCCTAACTCGGCCGGTTTTCTGCTCGCTCGGTGTTTCCTGGAAGTGTTAGGCCGTGGTGCGTCAGTTTTGAAGGACATTGGGTGTTCCATCTGCGCAGGCACGGCGAGTGTCCTTCCGTGGAACAGACGCAGACATTCATCCAGCTCTGTCAAAACTTCATATCCCAGAACCCGCTGGAAGTCATAGGTTTGTCTCCTCCTTTTTCCCACATTTGGTTCCCAAGCTGGAGGGAGGCGAGCTCTGCCACCACCGGCATACGCTAGAGCGGTAACGGCCTTTTATCGGGGCAGCGGTCTTTGCGCGTCTTGTTCGGCACGTGCCCTTGTGGACCATTTGTTTCCCCCCCTTAACCCCGACTTGCGCCAAAGGTGTCTGTAACGCGCGAAGAAGAAGGTTGCATGGGCGTCTTACTGCTACAGAGATCCACATACCGTATTTACTCGCATATTGGTCGATACGTCGTATAGGTCGACCCCCTAACTTCGGGACCCCCGAAAAAAAAAAAAAGTTGACAAATATAATACCGGGATTCGCGTATTGGTCGACCCCCCAGTTTTGATGAGGCGATTTTTGAAAAACAGGTCGACCTATACGCGAGTAAATACGGTAGTTGCTGCTTTCACCCAAACAGTGGCAAAGGAATAACTCCAGAGAGCTCGGCAATGTCGTCGCGGTTGCTCTCTTTTTGTTTGGCCTCAAAATGATCCTCGTAGCCCGCTAGATTTCCATCTAGAGCGGGTTAAAAGTAATTAGAGACTTGGTCGCCACTTTACGTGCACTGGTGGGACATTACCGCAAAGTTTCGTCGGACTCGTTTTCCCGACGAGCGAGGGGCGCTTGGTATTGACGAGTCGGTGGTTGCTAGGTGAGGGTGTTTAGGTGAGGCCATGTGATCCCGGGGCTGTTAGCCTCCCCCAGCTGTGGGTGGGTTGGGGCGGGGGAGGGAGCCTCTTTGCAGCAATCCCTGGCGCAGGTGTCCACTGCACGCACGGCTTCAACAGGACGGGCTTCCTGATTGCCGCATACCTGGTCGAGAACATGTCTTGGGGGTAAGGGATTGCGCCTTTCACCTTGCGCTCACTCGCAACCGGCCTCTCTAGAGGATGTCGAACGCCGCTTCCTATTTCACACATTTTGCCGAGTGTGCGTTTTGGGAATGTTTTACGAGCGCAGAAGTTCTCATTTGCGAGCGGTACGTCACCTATCGGTTACCTCAGGGTGATCCGTTAGGGCGAGAAATTTTTATTACGTTATTAGAATTTATAAAAAAGAGATCCTCGCAAAGTCTCGTACTGTAGTTTATTGAAACTTTGCAAAAGACACGAGTAATCCTCTTCTCAGCATAGAGGAGGTCAACAACGCGTAACAAATGGACCTGTCGACTCATTGTCGGAGGCAGAAATAAAAGAAACAAATGCGGTGAAAGGGATACTTCGACGAAATTCGAAATATGCCCGTCGTGGTCAGAAATAGGCCCAATATAATCCACAACCAGGGGTCGATCCAAGGGGGGGAGGTGACGGGGGCGGCCGCCCCCCCCAACGAGGGTCGACCCTTCCCCCCTTCTCGGAGGGCAATTCGACGTGGGTGGACCCCCCAGTGCACACGAAAGAATGGGAGAATAGTATCCTTACAAATTTTGCGCCCCCAAAACGGAGTTCTCAGTCCACCCCTGTCCACAACATCCCTAAATGACAATCACACGTTCGTATTTTGAGCCTGACGGCTGTATTTTACGTTATAAACGGCCACTCTGGCAAGCGCTCGGAGAGCACGTCAGATCCGGCGCATTCGTGACGTATATTTTGTGTCGGGATGAGCAAAGCACCAGCGAGGCTGACGTCGTCGGGGCTGGGGTGCTTGGACCCAAGCGGTCCAAGCACCCCAGCCTTTGGGCCTCCGCAACCCCAAAGCTGCCTTTTGTGGGAATTTTGGGTGACGAATTAATCTACTAGAATCTTGTAGAGGGAGACAAGCGACGTCTGAAACGCGCAAAAGAGAGTCCCGTTGAGTGGAGCGCTCCTCCCTCTTCTCTTGTACTGGCCGTAGAGCTGTCGGGAGGACGTCAGGTTCAAAGCATGTATAGTTCTTGGCGAGACAGCTATCGCCACTACCTGTCAAGGTTCCTAGACGGGCATTACAAACGAGGCTTTAGAGACATCCACCAGGTGCTCCTTGCTAATCCTTTCATTTGTTCTAAAATTCCTTTTCGTGACTTTTTTAACAACATATTGGTCCATCCGATGTAATACTGCTCCTTCGAATGCGTATAGACCAAAAATTAAGTGTCGAAATTTCGTCAGAGTATCCCTCTAGACCAAAAGGGTAGGCCACTTTGTAGGCATTGCTCAATCCACTCTGCTGGTATTTTTGTGCCCTAAACATTTTGTTTCCATTCCACGCGTTTCTTTTGACGTTTAGGTTTGGCCTAATGTGTTTGTGAATGTTTCCCGAGAGGAAAGCGAGGGATAGCTCACTGTCCTGTCCTAAATTCCAGGGTGGAAGCTGCCGTGCAAGCGGTGTCAGTGGTGAGTCTGTCTAGAATCTCGGTCCACCCTGGACACAAGGTGTGACAGACCCTCGCAGGCCAGGCCTCCCGGCATCTACAAGGGGGACTACCTGCTCGAGCTGTTCAAGCGCTACGGAGACATGGCCGAAACCCCACCCCCTCCGCCGCGACCGGCCTGGTGCGACGGTACGAAGCGTTTTCCCGCCTCCCTCTTCTAACGTTTGCCAGGTCAAGCGGTGAGCGGCGTGCTGTCAGTGTCGGCCGCAACGTGCGCTTTGCCGGCCACGTCGAGAGAGCCGTCGATGCAAGATCGTGGCTTTCTCCGCTCCGTCTTGCCTTTCGCCGGTGCTAACGGAGTCGAGGCAACGTGGCACGATTCTTAGAGTACCCGAGCTTCAAGTAGGAGAATGCGGCCTCGGTTTCTGTAATGGACTCGGAGCGAAGGTGACGAATGTTCGTGCTGTCGTTAACGAAGGAAATACGGACGAGCTAGGCTTTTGCGACGGCTAGCGCGCTAAGGAGACCAAAAAACTGTCTATTGTTTCTTTCGTTTCCGCAGTGTTGGCGAACGTTGATTTTATTGGACGCGGTTTTATTTGAGCGCCAATTTCGCCGACCCAGAAAGTAGGAGATGCATCGTGCGAAACGACACCCTTTCGGGATTGACCGACCGACTCGGCGAAGCTGCGAACGAGCCATGTGGCGGGCGAGGACCGTCCCTGCCTCGGGACGCGAGGAAAGCTGTTTGTTGGCGGTCCGTTTGCGTCTCTGTGGTGCCGCTCGTCCGCGAACACGTTTGGAGAGCTCCTCTCGCCTGCGAACCAGGTTGCGTTTCATTTAGTGATGAGTGTCGGTTTTTCTTAGCTTTGGACGACGAGCTGGTTCTATTGACTGGATTTCAGAGGAAGACGATGATGTGGACGACGACGGCAACGCCTTGGGGGCGGACGACGGAGGCACCGACAGTCCCATCCACACCAAGCGGCGGAAGGAGTTCAACAAGAAGGTGGGAACGTCTTTGGCCCCAAGGGAGCTCCCTTGCCAGTGCAACGGAGGGCACGTTGACGACAATGCCCGAAAAGAGCTGCTTTCAAACTGTTTCTGGCGGATTGGGGGCAGCAATATGAGTCGGAAGACGCGCACTGAGCTTCAAGTTTGAGAGCACATTCAAGTTGGGATGGATGTATCTAAACGGGATGCTCGTGGGAAACATGGTGGAGCCGGCGTGCTTGGGGGCCGGGTGTTGGCACAATCTCGGCACGGTGCAGAATGGAACTCGACGAGCGCAGCCACCGACGGATGTTGGGGGTGACTTTTTTGGCGTTGCTTCTACTCGTTCCTCTCGATACTCGTCTTTAGGCTTCGAAAAGGGAGCGCAGTGTGGAATCTCTCGTGTCTCCGATCAATGTCATTCTGTATGAATACAAATCGTGAGACGGTCGTCTTTTTATGCGAGCGAAAAACTTGCGTAACACCATTTCGGCATTACGCGAACAATTTCCATCGGCCCACCAGCAGTCAGAACTGCCCGCATATCCGTCGCATTGGCGTAACTGTACTAACTTGCGGTTGTGGAATGTAACCGACGTTGATTTGGTTCGCACACTGATCCGCGGAGAGTTCCTTTTAGCGTGCTTCGGATGTGCGTCGGACAGTGAACGCAGGAACCAATGTTGCGCAGAACCCAACCTTCATGGAGGGCGTCCCGGGCATTCAGCCAATCACGACGCAGCCCAAGCTGGTCCAGATACAGAGGCGGTGTCAGCACATGTGTCACTGGGAGAGGTGGGTGCTTTCAACTCGTCGGTGTCGGGAGGGGTGCGCCACCGCCTCGGTGGCGTGGCCTGGGCAGCCGCCCCCGCGGCCCCTTGCTGGAGGCTAAAGACGCACATTTTACGCTTCCCTTTTCTCCCGTCGGTCATAGTACGACCGATCGGTTTTTGCTACGCCATTCGAATCGGCAGCGTGCACGGTCGCGCAAGTCGTGGCCGGGTGTACGAAGGCAATGTGCTCGAAACGTGGGTGTCTTTTGTTCCTGCATGCACGCGTCATTTGTAAAGGTTAGCAATCCGTAATATGAGACGGCTCAGTCAACTTGTTCCACTATGCACGTCACGCGCGATATGTTTTTTTTTTTTTTGTGGGTGCACTTTGTTTTGAGGAAATTTTCCACCGGGGGTCCTTGTTGCAGCTCCGGCTTTCCGGGCAGCCAGCCGGTCTCCATGGACAATTCCAACCTGCAGATGTTGAAGCACAAGCCGTACAAAGTCAGTTGGAAAGCGGACGGGACGAGGTGAGGCCGTTTCCTCGCGCCATCTCACGCGGTCTGGCCCATCGGTAGTGGCCAGCCGCGCAACGACCTTGGCTTTACTCGCCGTAAAAATGCGTCTTTTCGGTCTGGCGCACGACGGAGCGGGTTTTGCGAAGTGAGCCACACTGCCGCTAGCGTAGCCGAGTCGGCGGTACTTTGCCCACGACGCGTTCGATTCCCGACTCTACTCTCGCACTCGTTGCCTATTTGGGAACGCTCCAGTTGGATCCAGACGTTCATAGCGCTCGCCAGTGTATCTCTGGACGGTCGAAAAAACGCGTAAGAGGAAGCCTAGGTGACCGAAGGCAATCGATCGCGTCTGGCTGCAACTCTCTCGAATCTTCTTAAAGATTACCAATCTGGACTTTGTTTCACGATTCTTGCCCGAAGCATAAAGCGATTTTGATTTGCGAAAAAGACTGCCAACTGCCGAGGAATCGTACCGTCCACGGGGCGGCGCAGTCTACCGCGGCTGCTATTGTTTCTATCCGACGACCACCGATCTCGATCCCCCGCTGCCTTTGTTTGCAGTGCGTCGCAATTTGTTACTCGTCCGAGCCCTTTTGTTTTTGTGCCAGGTTTCATGTGCAGAGCGCGGCACTTTTAGCGAGTGAAAAGCAATCGCGAATGGTTTCCTTCTTGGAATTGACCGGCTGCTATACACCGAGACGCCGTCCACGACCTAGCTCGTGTTGGCCCTCACCGGGCACCGCGCCTGTGCAGAAACGAGATTCGCATAAGGGAGCTTCTGCGCAGATGTCGGAGGGTCGGGTCGGCGCATAAAAGTGGCTTGCCTGGCGGGGGCTTGGACTCGAGCGACGAACGTGGGTGTCCGCGTCGCATTTGTGCCGAGAGTGCCGCACAGTGTACGTGTTTCTTCTTTACGTGTAAAGATGACGCGCGAGAAACCTCGAAAGACGTACGTCAGTTTTCATAAAGTCACGCACATTGGATTGTCCATGCTCGGCACTTCCGAAACGACGGCGACGACGGCGTAATTTGTGCGCGACGCTTTTTGATGGCGTTTCTCACCGAACGTAGCGTTCTTTCGAGGTTGAGCAACACCGTCACGCACTTGGATGTGCACATCCAAGTGCGACACCGCCGACACCGAGTTGGCTTTTCCCGGTCGGTGCCCAGGATCTCTGGGCGAAAAGATGGCACCGTCCGATTGCGTGCGTGTGCAGGGGGGGTCACGCGTAGCCCCCCAGTGTTTGGAACGAGGGGCATTGGGCTGCAAAACCTTCCCACGAAGGGAGTCCCCGCGTGCCGTGCTCCGAGGTTGCAGAGCGCCCTCTGGCCTTTCAGGTACATGATGCTGATCGACGGAGAGAACGAGGTGTACTTCGTCGACCGGGACAACTGCGTCTTCCAGGCGTCGGGGCTTTGGTTTCCGCGGCGGAAGGAGCCCGGAAGCCACATCCAGAACACCCTCGTGGACGGGGTGGGTCTCCGGCTCGCTTGCCGGGGCTGCCCAAGCACCCCCCGGTGACTGTGGACGGCATTTGTTGGCGCCATACCCCTCTCGGATTGGAGCGTGACCTCCGCTTTCGCTGTCCCATGTTTGATGAAGAAAACAATTGGGAAAATTAGATCGCGCCCCCGACGACCGGCTTACTTCCCATCTCAAATTTGTATTCCCACCGAGCATCTGGTGAGGCTTTGGTCGAGTCTCGAACCACTAAATTTGCGGCCCCACCGGTCTCTATTGTAGTAGGCTAGATCGCGGATCGGGAGCTCGTCGGTGGCACCACCATTGCTCCACATCGGGCAATGCACGAGAGTCTATGGGAGAGACGCGCAAAGGTAGGAATATTGGGAGACACGCGCAGAGATAGGATTAAGTAGAACCCAGATTTTGCCTCCGAAGCAGCGTCTGGGTCCACATGGGCAGATCCACGGGATCGGTGATGGGGCTGCAGGTCGTCCCCTCCGAGGCGACACCCGTGGGTCGAAGGCGAATCGTTCAAAACGCACAAAACGTTTCTAGATCGTCACTTGACTCGGACGAGCTTGGTAAATCGTAGCCACGCTCCATTTCCACTCGTGGGTCAGACAGAATTGGGCTGCACGCGCACTAAATATAACTTTTGGCATTGTTTCAAGATGGCCTAGCTGTTGGCTTTGGTTTCACCGATTGATCCGAATTGGGCGAGGGGTGGGTGAACATAGGTTGAACGTCGTTGGCACAGCATCGCACCCCGGCTTACGAGCCGTCTGTCCGCTTAGAGCTCGGCTCGTAGCTCTCTTCCGCGAAACGATTGCCGCACGGGCGGGATCTCGATCTCGACGGGAACCCACCTGTGCACGCCGAAGACCGATTTCGCTCGTCGCTGGGCGTCTGGCGGATGGCAGCTGCTGCCTGGTGGTCGTGGCAGCCAACCGCGCGACGAAAATCTCGCCCATCCAGGAAACGAGTCGAGCGCAAGGAGAAAAACGAAGCACGCTGCGCCATTCGCTCGCGGGCAAACGACGGAAGTGCTCGCTTCGCGTCGCCCGACGTCGGAGCTTCAACATTGCCGACAAAAGCACCATTTACGCTAGGATGCGACGGGAGCAGTTTAAAATTCAATTCTTCGCGCAGAGGGGCATATAAAATTTTGATATTACGCGGACGAGGCGTTTCGAGGTAATAGCAATGACGTTCAATCGTTAAAGTGCGAAAAATGTAGCTCCATCCAAAACTTCAAAGTCACCCTCGAAGAAGAAACCGAGTTGGTTTGGAAACGTCGGGTTTCCTTTTGAGTTTTGGTTGGAGCTGCATTTTTTGGACTTTAATTCTCACCCAACCAGGCAGATTTCTGCCGAATGGGGTTACTTCCAAATATTCTATGTTTTCTCGAACACGAAATTTCACCGGACGATCCCTTTATAAAAGATAGGTATTGATGCTTTTGATATTTGCAACCAGAATATTAGCTGTCATTCCCAGGAAACGGGATAAAGGTTTCATCGTCGAGAACAGCCTCCTAAACTAAGGAAGTCTCCCACGGACCCCAGGCATTATCCGGTGTCGAGCAATGGCTGCCAGTGGTGCGGCTCAGTGATCCATCGTCCGGCCGATAGAGACGAGCGAGGTCGTCGATGTTGTGGGTACCGTCGCGAGTGGGAGTCGGGACGGAGGCCCGTGACAGAGCGGATCTCTCTCGGCAGGAGATGATCATCGACAAGGCGGAAGGCAAGGACGTGCCGCGCTACCTCATCTACGACATTGTCCGGATCGAGGTGAGGCTCCCTGGGGGGTTGGGGAGGGGTCTGACGGACTGGGACGTTGCAGGGGCAGGAGGTGGGCAAGACGGACTTCAACGTACGCCTCATCTGCATCTCGAAGGAGATCTGCGAGCCCCGCAAGCGGGCCATGAAGGAGGGCCGCATCGACCGCAGCAAGGAGCCCTTTGGGGTGCGACAGAAGGACTTCTGGGACCTCACCTGCACCGAGTCGGTAGGGACCCGCTCGCCCAGCCTCTCCGCGGGCACCCGGGGATCCACCCGCACTTCTCTGGCTTTGCCAAACGAGAGCCCACCTTGCCGCTTTTCCCGTCTCGGACTCGACGGGTGCCCGTTGATAGAGTTTGCTTCGCTCCATATTTTACGGTAGCCACGGGGCAATTATTTCGTCTACCTGTTCTTCCAACTGGCCCGAAACATGCGGCGAGCGACGTGCGGTCGACGCTGCGGCACCTACCCGGAGGCTCTTTTTTCTGAAATGCGACGGTATTTAGGAGCGAACCTTGCGCTTCGGTAGCTCGGTTCATGACCGAGGAAGCAGGCGGCGCTCTACTTATCCGTATAATAAAACAATGAATGCAAAGTCGAGCGTCGTAAAATGTGGGGTGGTTCCAGTCACCAGGCTCGATCTAAAATGGACCGTAAAAGTCGACTCCTGCACGTAACCATCTAAACTTTTCGCCAAAGGTGGAAGTCACAGGTCAGTTTTTTCTCGTAAAATTACAAAGCGTAGCTCTCTTTCTGTAAAAAATAAGGCCAAGAAACTTGCCAGGGTTTCCAATAGGCAGCAACGCGGACGACAGGGGTCCAGTAGCGGGGTGTGTTTGGCGTTCGTTATTGATAGATGGCACTACCTCCTTATGGCGACGGCTCGCGACCACCGTGGTTTATAAAAATGAATATAATTTTCTTGAAATGCACCTTCGGTTAAAAAATAAACGCAGACAATAAAAACAAAACTTAAAGTAAAAAAATGCGTCTGCATAAAGGCGGTGCTTTTGCTGCCAACGGATTTCGTCTGCGTGTCGTCTGCTTTCTTTCGCTGGTCGGCTGCACCTTCAGACGCTGCTTCCGACATCATCTATCAATACAAACGCCAAACACACCCTGCTACTGGACCCTGTCGTCTGCGTCGCTGCCCGTCGTAGACCCTGGCAAGTTTCTTGGCCCTATCTTTTTACTAAAAGAGATCTACGCTTTGTAGTTTTACGAGAAAAAAACCGACCCGTGAAATACACCTTTGACGAAAAGTTTAGATGGTTACGTGCAGGCGTAGATTTTTACGGTCCATTTTAGATCGAGCCAGGTGACTCGGACCACCCTATAGATATATTTGTATTTTTGACCGGTACGCCGCCATTACTAATTCTAAATTCCCCTCGTGCGCGGTAACCTCGGGTGTCCCTCGAACCCTCTTCTGAATCTACTGTCGCGACATTCGCGAGCGCATCTCGTCGTCGGTTCGATCGTTTGCGGATGACCGCACAGTTTACGGGCCCCTTCTCTCGCCCGACGATGGCCGTACCTCGGAGGCTGATGCAGGAGGCTCCGGAGGGAAATAGGAGACTGAAGCAGAAGGCGATCCCGGAGTCAGGGACTGCACAAGTGACTATTTTCCCCGGAAATGCCGCGAGTGGACCTGACTCGCTACAGAAATTGACAATCTACGATATATCTCTTCTTGTTTTAGGGACTCTATCGGATGTCTTGGTCCTTTAAAGGGGCGATGCAACGATATTCAATTGAAATGTTTTTCACTTTACACGAGCTTACTGGCACTAGTGGGACTCAAGGATACTCGCACGCAATGCCAATGGCCAAGAAACTCCTTGGTTCCGCTGTAATTTCGAGGACAAAACTGAGCGTTTTCATTCAATCTCTCCTTCGCAAAACCTGATGACGTAGCTGGGCGGTAGCAGTACCGCCCAGTGACGATATTTGAATGCGGCTCATAGATTGGACCCGAGCATTACGTGGGCACTCGATTCGGGCTCGTGATAATCTATAGCTCGAGAAGCATTCGGGTAGTGTCCTGTGTCAAATCGCTGCAATGACGAAAACAGCCGAACCATAACAATGTCTCGAACGCAGTGCGTGTCCTGGCCTTGCCAACCCCAGCGCGTGGCTATGACCAACATTGGCGGCATATAATCGGCTCCAGATCACGTGGCCGCTTTTTCTGGCTGCGAGTTGAGGGATTGAACTTTGCTCTTTTTTCTTTATTTTTTTCTGCGACTTCGATTGCGTGTGGGGAAAAACGAACGGGTATATTACAGGTCATTAACGTCAGGGATCCGTTCTAAGTGTTGTTTGCGCAAAATACAAAAATCGTTGCATCGCCCCTTTAATGTCAAAAAGCAGTGTGTGCTGTACAGACCCGGCAGCATTTGCATAGCGATTTTGTACGATCCAAATAATTACCTTTTCCGAGCTTGTTCGCTCATTTTTTTTATTTATACCCAGACACGTCTCGTTAGATGTCATTAGGGAGTTTTAGGATAACGTATGAAATTTTAGCGCTCGAGTTAGCGCACGCTACACGAGAGAGTTTTAGAATAGCGTTTCTTGCAAAAGTCCGAGCATTTCGCACTCGCAACGCCACCGATATAAAATCACAATTTTTATTCTACGCGCGACATGCTGTAACTTGAGAAAAAACAAGTTTTTTGGTCCAGAGTAACATTTTACCTTTGTCTAAACGGGAGAATGCGGCTCTAGCAGTTGACCGTTCGTGTCTGCATGCGTCGCCTTGGCAAGAGCGGTCTCGTGTACTGACTTTTGCCGAGAAATGTTGGCGCACCGCAAGCATCAAATTGCCGGTGGTGGTTGCCCACCTTCCTGGGCTCTCCGAACCGAGTGCAATGTCGTCCCGTACTGAAAATCGCAGTCGCGATGAAGTTGCCTACGTCGCACTCACGACGACGCCCAAGCGGCCGCAGCCATGTTCCTGGGGGCCGCCATTTTTTAACTCTGCTCGTCTTGGCTTTAGCCAACTTCTCATCACGAATCCTCCTTGGAGCAGCGCAAAGACTCTTTGCTTATGCGCACTATTTCTGAGAAATAGCGTACACTAAAATAAGCGCACCCAAAGCACAAAACGTGGTTAGCATTCGGCGCATGCGTGACGGCGGCAACGCTATTCTTTGCGTACGTAAAGCTTATACATGCGCTATTTGAAAACTCCATATTGACTCAAAGTGACCATAATTGGCAATAAGTGTAAATTTTCGATGAGATTGACTCGGCTCTAACTGACTGAATATGATTATTATCGATAATTATGTGATTTCTTTTTTTGTTGGTTGACACATATGATCACCTTCAAGTAGCTGTTGTTGGCCATTACCACATTCTTTTACCTTGCAGCGACAATTGACAGTTCTTTTTTTTGGTGTGGGTGAAGGAGTATCGCTTCAACTGGCTGTTATTCGCTCTCAGCCTCCAGTTTTATGTATCTTTGCTCGATGTGGCTACAAATGGCTATTAATAACTTGCGTTGAAAACTGAGCTATTTTGGTTTCTGAACTAGAATGGGTTCAGGTGGCTATCGTTGGCTATTTGGCTTCTAATGGCTACTAATGGCTATTACTACAATAGCAGTTATCCGCTATTTGAGTGTTTATAAATGAGAATGGCCTCCAGTGGCTGTTATAAGCTGTAAGCGAACTATCGATAATTATGATTGAACCGCATTTATACGCACCAAATGGAATGGCTTCGAGTGGCTATTGTTGGCTATTAGTATTTATTTTTGACCAGACTGACTCTAAATTAGCGATGGACGGAATCTGCCGAACTTCTTTCGAAGAAACGTTTGGCAAACATTCGGCGAAAATTCGGCAAACTGTCGCGCACGCGCGAGAGTGGGACGGGTCATGGATTGCAAATGGACGCCGTGCAGTTGTGAGATTCCCATGTACAGCGTAGTACTAGCGGCAGTTGCGGCGAGGTGGGGAGTAGGCGTCGTGGTATCTGCGTGTTCGTCAGCCTTTGTGAGTCTGGTTCTCTTCCATATTTTCTGCCTCAAGAGTGGAAGATGAACCAGGAATGGAGGCAGTCCACTACGCAAGTGACAAGTGAGGCTGGAGTCGCTGGCCGATTGGGTTGGCGTCAACTCTACTGAAACCCTCGGTTGGGAAACTCGCCCTTGAAACCCGGGTCGCTGGCGTCCACCGAGAGCGAGCCGATTACAATAACAGCGCCACCCTTTAGCAACGAGTTGGAACGTGAAAGTTGCTTTACATGGATACTGCGAGATGGCCCCGCGAGGTGGCGCCGCCGGCCCTGGCCCGACTTGACTCGCGGCCGTAGAGTTCCCGGAGGGGACGCCGCGGGAGAAATGGCGGCGCTGCAGTCGCCATTAGCTCGGTTCTCGAGTACGGATCGGAGCCACTTTTTTGAAGCAGACTCTACGGCAGTTTCCCAACTGACTGAATCTAGTAATGTTGACTAGCGCGCACCAGCTCAGATAATGTGGAGCAAAAGCTCGCGTGGGTTTGGCGTTTGCGAAAGAAAAAGCACCTCTCAATGCTGTTTTGTGTCGTGTGAAAAAACTGGGACTGTCTGCTCCACCGTAAGGTGCCGAACGGTTCGAACCATTTGGCTGCTCTCGTAGATCCCAGTAGATGTGTGTGGGATTTTAATTTGATCTAGTAAAGAGAGGTACAGCTGCAATGGAAAAAGATCAGCACGAGTGACCGACGACCAGAGCGACAAAATCGCCACCCGCCGCGCCATTGTTGCCGGATGCTCCGATGGGGAGAGTGAGAGTCACGTTCCACGTCTTAGGGTGGTCGGCAGAAAGAGGCCCAGCCTAAAGCCCGCATTTTGAAAGCCATCCCGTCCCTCGATTTCCTGCCGGCCACCCCTACGTTGCGACATGGCTACGTCGCCGATGGCGAGAGTGCCACGACTCTCGCCATCGGCGTGCTCGGGGAGAATAGCGCCGCGTGTCACAATTTTGGCACTCCGGTCATCGATCACTCGCGCCAATCTTTTTCCGTTGCAGCTGTACACTACGCAGTCTGCGGAGGTGAGTTATACCGCCAGGAGGACGTAGGTAATTTAGGAGAGGCTAATCTATGCGGGTAATTAACTAAAATTTGTTAATTAGCTTTTTAATGAAATAAACGGGGGGTTTGATTTAGCTACTACTTTGCGAGTGTCGTCAAAAACACGGATGGTAATCTTATCGTCGCATTTTTGCGCAGCTAGTTTCGTGCCCGTTGCACGTCTGGTAACTTTAGTGCAAATCCGCGCCTTACGTGTCTACAATCTACTAAGTGGTTTTCAATGACACTCGCCAGGTTTCTAGCTAGAATCGTACATTTATTTTTGCTCATTCGGAAGTGAATGGACAAACTTTCGTTAATTATTGGACTTGTCGTAACAATTAGCCCTCGTGCTACGTCCCCCGGCTGTAACGCTCACCCGCACAGACGGCACGAATGTACATTTGGCGGCTTGTTTTTTTTGCATACTTCTGTAGGAAGGAATTCTTATTCTTTGTGGCTCTTTCAGCTTCTGAGCGAGAAGTTCTCCCAGAAGATGTCTCACGAAGTAGACGGCCTCATCTTTCAACCCATACCCGACGTGAGTTTCCCTTCTGCTCGAGACGGGCCCTTTGAGTGCCGTCCAAACTTTGGGGTCTGGAGGTTGACTCGTCCCCTCTGCCCCAACAGCCGTACATCTGCGGGCAAAGCCTCAACGTGCTCAAGTGGAAACCGCCGCACCTCAACTCCGTGGATTTCCGGCTCAAGATCTTCAAGGAGAGCGGTCAAGGGTGGGTTGCACTTTGTACACGAGGGACCGGGCCAAGGGGGTCCCCACCACCTCCATAGAATGGGACCAATGAACGGAGTTCATTGCGGTCGCATTCCGAACCTTTCTCTTTTTGGGCACGTTACATCTTGACAAAAACTTTGAATCGTTGGGTGTAGGAGACTCCAATTACTGTTTGAAAAGGCCTTCCAGCGACGCCCCCGCCTCTGCTCCGAGGCACAGAGAGAGGGGCACGATCTTTGATTAGATTTTAATGGGGAGATCGGCAGCCCAGCAGTGGAATGGGCCTTTTCCCCAAATGTTGGGTGCCATCTATCGGCGAGCGGGAGAAACGTTTTCGATGGCCTGCCTCGCCTCTGCCCGCTCCAAGCTACGTTGGCCGTCCGAACGCGGTCGGTAAATGCGCTCGGCATTGGTCTCTCCTCTATCCAACGGGACGGACGAGTACATTCGTTTTCGGTGGACGGGCCGACTACGGACGTCCGTTTCTACATTTTTCCGAAGGAATGGACGACGGACTTTGTCGTGGCACCGGTTGTGACTGATGGCGCAGTTGAAGCTCTCTTTTGATCTGTGAGAAAGTACAAATGGTTGCATTAAGCTAGGATTTACAATATATGCGGCGCTGGCGGTAAATTCGGAAAATAATCCAGGCCAAGTTCCAGTTACGGTGAGCTTTTTTCTTCAATTGCGAGCTATAAACTGCTCGCAAAAGGCTCGCTCTAAAATCTTCCGAAAAAGTCGGCGCCTCCACCTATTAATGTCTCATTTTCATCGAAGGTGCATTTCAGCGGTGGATTGCGCCTCGTGATATTGCAAAGCGTAGCTAGCTCTATTCCCGCGGAAAATGAGACAAACAAATTTGAACGGTGGACGTGTTTGGGACAATTACGTCGTTCATGTGCACCGCTGACCCTGGCAATTTGCTGGTCTCGTTTTTTTACTGGAAGGGGGTAGCACTTTGATATTTCAGAAGGTCAAATTCGCCGCTAAAATACATCTTTAATAAATATTTACGCACGCAGTCGCCAATCTCTGAGCGAGCCTCGCATTGATGTCGCCCCCCTTCGGGCTACATCTGCGTGTCACTGTAAGTCCCGAAGAAAAAACACGATATCGGCCACGCCTGTCTGTTTCGAGTGTCGAGCCTGTAGACAATGTTGCGGACTCATTACTCAATATGCACACGAAGAGGACTCGTCGAGTCGGTGGTGTCCTCTTTCTTATTGAACCGGAAGACCAGCAGATGCAGTCATGATCGCATTTCTCTTTCCGGTTGTGCGCATAGCAACAAACTGTTCAGCGTAGCCACTTTACCTCGATGCTTTATAAATATTTGGAAACTGGGCAATTCTAATGTTCAGAGCGACCAAAAAGCAGACGGGCAGTTTGCGTAGCAACGCGAGACCGTCACTTTAGCGAGCAAAATTGTGCACCAGTCCAGCGCACCCATCGCAGAGACGCAAACACTGCGGCGCTCGCTCTGCCTGGCACGTAGACGACACGACGGCACAGCTAATCCGTCTGCCGACTCGTATTTCCACACCAGTAACAAATCGAGGAACAAAAACAGGAACCTTCCTCGAAGTGGCAACCGCAAACGCGGGAGTGCTTTAAAGGCGGCCTTTGGGAGCCGTCCACATTGTTTGGCCGGATCGCCCAAATCCACAGCAGCCGCTTCGTCGGCTGCCGGCTGTGGTAGAAGGAAACCTAAAGAAACATGAACCGCGACAATGCGTGTCCTCGTTGCTGACGAGGGAACAGCGTTGGGGCCTGTCGGAGGACTTGGAAACGTGCGACCACCGCTGCCTCCCGCAACCCCGAGCCGGACGCAGCGCGCCACCAAAAATGGTGGACTCCCGTCTGCTCCTGCAGCGCATGCGCCGTGGAAACGCCGGACGTTTAGGATGTTGAGAGCACGTAGGTTGAGTTATCACTATTAATAGACTACCATAAACGACTAAATTTTCGCAAGGACTTAATTTTTGCGAATTTCGCGAATGGCCTACAATTCGCAAAAAATACGTCCCACGAACAATTCGGACAATATGCGAACGCTATGGAAGCTACACTCGATTCGCGTAAATTAGAACCCGCGAATAATTTCAAATTTTCAGCGTTTGCCCGATTCGCAAAAATTTGAGCCCGCGAAAATTAAGTCGTTTACAGTATCTCAAAATCCACTCGACTGCCCCTTTGGCCCGCAGAAAAATTATGGTTTTTAGTTGTAACTGATTTACCCTAACTTTGAGATTTGTTTGACGCGGGTTAGAATCGTCCGGCCCTCGCCGTAGAAGACAAGTAGTGAACGATTGTCACTGCAGGTGCTTTTTCTGCCCCGTGCAAAAGCAATCCGCTCGTCCGTGAAGAAAGGTCGCCATTGCCGACTGTCTCGCGACGGGACGATTGCGGACAATGGGGGAGAGAGGGCCCCTTTCCGAGCACACAGGAGGGGGCCAACTCCGTTACTTGTCTGAACCCGATCCAAGGGAGGAAGGGAGCACCGGCTGCTCTGGATGGAGCCGCACGGCGTCCATTTTCGCCGCTCGTGCGTCCCCCGCTTGAGGCTAAGCACTTGGGGGTGGCTGCCCTTGGAACGCAGAAGGCGTTTAATGCGGCATTTTCTACCAGGAAGTCGTCATTAAACTTGAAAGGCAACGCCGCTCAATTCCGTAAATTTAGGGATATTGAGCGACTTCACATTTAAAAGCGCTACTAAAAGGCGCTACATCATTTGCCACGTGAAAAATGGGTTAGATATTGTTAAATCTCGTATCAATCGTGAGCAGAAGTCAAAACCAAAACTTCAGATCCGTCTGGCAGCATTGGCCGAGGGCCGCCAAAAACGTAACTATCGCGTGGTGCGAGATCTCGCGTGATCCTCTACCGGGTGCAAGCGTGCCAGGTGCAAGTGTCGTCTGCACCGCATTGATCGCCACGTTTAGGTGTCTCCTATGTTGGACGACGTCTGCGCAATTGCGGCACGAGTCTGCGCACGTAGTGGGAGCGAAACTCCGAGAGGCAATGATCGCGGACGGTGAGACGTCGACGGCGGTTGTGACGTGGCAGACCAGGGTGCGGGAGACGGTGGGGACGACCGGACGGCTCCCAAGAAGCGCACTGCACAGCCGCGTTCCGCCAATCGCCTGGACGCTGTCGAGCACCGAGAGGAAACGTTGCGGACGTCGCCTTTTTACGCCTGCCCCGGCTTGCCCGGAGAAGTAAAAACAAAGGGGCAATGGTGATGACGTTTAGCTCAACGTTGGCTATGCCATAGCCTCGACTGCGCCATTGATTGCGCCGTATTTCGCCCGCTAAAGTGAGCCGATTTCGTCAACCTGGTGCACTGCAAAGTTTGCCGGACCGTTTAAGAAACATTAATGCGGAACTAGGTCGTAATATTTGACGCGTGGTCTTCCGAGGTGATAGTAAAGAGGACTGCATTGTTTTCTCAGAGGCAAAATTGAAGCAGACTGGCCCTTTAAGATTACATATAAAGCTCCAACTGGGTTGGTGCAGTGGCGGTCGGGTGTCACTGAGCAGTGCAGCTGCTACGGATCGGTTTCAAGCGAAATCAAAAGTGGCGGGCACTTGTTTTGGATAAAAAAAATAATGAATAAATAATTAAAAATAAGAATGAAAAAATGTATAAATAAATAAGAAAAAGGAGAATAAAAAAAAAATAAGCGAAAAAATGAAAGCTGTTTACAGCTCCCTGTAACGTCGAATTGGAGCGCAGCTCTTGAGGAGGAGGAGGGAAGGAAGGGAGGGTATACTCCTCCTGCCTGCTACTCCTCCCTCCAAGTGGCGTCGGCATAACCGTGAGGTCACGCGACCCTCGTGACCTCACGGGGGTCACGTGACGTCGCTCCTCGTGTCACCAGGGTCGCCGGTGACGTCACCAGGGCAACGTTTCGGCACAGTGCCAAAACGGCACCGCGGTTACGCTGACGCCGACGCCATTCAAGCCGGAAACGAGCGCCTGAGAGATGCGCTCTAAAAATAGATGATAAAAAAAATGAGAAAACTTAGCGCAAAGGCCGCCTTCCGCGCTTCCTTTGTCAGTGAGCCTGCACAAATTTTCTTTCGAGGGACTTTGTGACCGATTCCTCTTTTTTTTTCTCCGGTGCCAAGCCTGGTGCCCAAACAGGTTGGTCAACTGTTTGTCGGCGGATTCGACCAGCCTTTGGGAAGTATCAAGGTACGTCCCTTTACGCTCTACTGTGCCAGCCGTTTCCAAAAGGGTTTCTCAAATTTTGAATGGCACACCACCGTGCGGGACACTAATGGCACCTGTGGGTTCTTTTGCACGCAGAGTATACACTGCCAGAGATACGTAGTTATGTGGCGCTTCTGGAAGAAGTTGGTCCTGTTTTTTTCCCTGCCTGCCTTTTGCTAGCATTAAAATGGAGAGATGGGTGACTTGGTGCGCGATTCTGGAAACAATGCGTGCCTTAAGACGAGGACTCAACAGGAAGTGCTTTGTGTAGGTCTTCTTTTGTGTCCATTTCCTTTTAGGAATTTTGACCCCCAAAGTGTCAGTATTTACCATAGTTACTTTCATCAACTTTTCAATAAGACGACAGAGGTTTTATTGTCCTTCTTATTAGTCTTTCGTATAACCTCATTTTCCTACGGAAGTCTAGGAAAGGTAAGAAATTTGGTCACTTTTCACCGCGTGTTTTACCATAGTTGTTAAAAAAAAGGGCAGTCGAAGTAAAGAAAGGATTCCTCGGGGTCACTGTTGTTGACCACGTGGTTCGCGCCTAACTCATTACCTCCGGTTGCCTTAACCGGCTCGTTCCGATGGGAGGTGCGTCGCCGGTAGTCGGTGTGCCGTAGCCGTAGGTAGAATCGAGACGACCCAATCCCAGTCGGTGCCGTCTTCCGGCAAATGTGGCAAAGAGACCGAGACAAAGGAGTTTACCACGGCTCCTTTCCAAGAAAAAGCTCGAGCAAAAAGCTGCAGAAAGCAAAATGATCCGTCGGAGGTCCGTAAGAGGAGACTTTTCTGGCAGGTAACCAAGGCAATCAAGGCCCTGGACAACAAGATCCTGGAGTGCAAGTGGGACAAGAACCAGTGGGTGTTGCTGCGGGAGCGGACGGACAAGTCCTTCCCCAACAGCTACAGCACGGCCATGGGTGGGTCCCGTGGCTGCTCGTGCAAGATTAAATCTCCTTCCATTCGGCTACTCTACAACATTCAGATCGACGTAGCAGTTCGCACAAAAAGCCTCCAATGCCAAACAGAAAAAAGAAAAGAAAAAAAAGATTATTAGGTAAAACGTCGAAGTATCGCGTCGACGTACCACTCGGTTATTTTTTCGCTACGGAGTCTAGCACTCGCCAACAAAGGCGAGCAAAATGAAACCGAAGGGTCTGTCCGAGTGGATGCGATGCTCGACGTGTCGTCCAGTCGCTTGGACCGCTTTTGGACTCGGTCCCCCCTCCGCGCCATGGAAAAGAGAAGCGTAACGTTTCCATTAGCATTACAATTTGAAGGTGCCTGAAAGCACGGAGAGCCTAATGTGCAGCTTTTTGTTTCTTCCAAACTTAATTTGCTGTTGCGGGCTACTAGAAGCGAGAATAATATCCCGCTTCTAGTATCCCGCTGTTGCGGGATACTAGAAGCAGTTTGTTTGGCCGCCCTGCGTGAGCGAAGCTACGAGTCGGTTGCCCCGAGCAGTGCTGGGCAGGGAAGCCCGGAGCTCCCTTTTGTAGCCCAGGGGAAGAAGGAGATGTTTGTCCGTCTGTGCAGGTGTCCTGCAGAGCATCAGCAAACCGGTGACCAAGGAGATCCTCTTGGAGTTCATCCAGAAGGAGCGGTGGCAGCCCCCTCACAGGGGGCCCCCCTCCGTCGACAGCCAGCTCATGCCACCCCCCAAGATGGCTCGATGAACGCTCTTTCGGGACGTATTTATTTCGCCTCAGTCGGTTTGCGGAGAGCCGGAATCGGGACAGACCTTTGCTCGTCAAAAACTGCCCGTACAAATTGAGCTCGGTTTGGATGGCGAGTGAGCCTCGTCCATGTTCACCATAGAGTGTAAAATCTCTTATCTGCAGCTCGTGGAATGGTTTTCACGATGTGCTTTCGGAAGATTGCCTCCGTGTTCCTATCAAAATGACCGGACCGGTTGCAGATGGACGAAACTCGCAGACGGCAACGTACGCTCGGCGACATTTATGTTTTATCCGAGTTGGTTCGGCCTCAGAGATTCCACCTCTTTTTATTTTTGTCGGAGTGGTCGTCTTTTTTCTGAAGTGGTGTCGTCTCGCGTCGGGCGGCTAGTTCCCACGGGCTCTAGATTTGGGCCGTCGGCGCTACGATATTTTTTCTCGAACCGGCTTTGCCGCCGGTTCTATGGGCAGTTGGGGAACTGCCGTGGAACCTCCCTTCCGCTTGTTCTTCGTTTGTGAAAGGTACATTTTTTAATTAAGGTGTAAATAGCTCGTTGGGAGTGTGTACAGAGTTGACGAGTGAACCGTGTACCGGCTTCAGACAGTGGCCGAAACCTCGGAGGTTTTTCGTGTGTACAAAGTTGCCTAGTAAAACAGCCTTCTCTCTCAGCAGGAATGGCCTTGGTGTGGACTAATTACTCGCGCAAAATATTCCTTACCGCTTCCCGGAGGAAAAAAGAAATCTCCTTCGGGCCGCTTGTTAAGTACAAATGCTCGTTTTGATCTCGACGACCCTAAGAAAAATATTTTGCGCCTCGTGGAGTGTCACCAATATACCTTTTGCTAGATCCCCCAAGCGCCCCCGCCCGCACTCTAAGAATCGTGGGAATGGTGGTCCTTCGCCTCCATGGTCGTCGATAATTTCGACCAAATCGACGGCTTCACCGTTTCGAGTGTAACCCGGAGCCGCCCCGAACGAGCGTCGTGTAGATTCTAAAGACCCGTCGTATCACTTTCAACATTCCTCGTCAGTGGTGGCGTTTTTGATGCTGCGCATGCGAGCCACATTTCAACCTGGCTGAGCTGCAGATATCCCTTACCATACTATCGTGATCGTTGTTTTTGCGGGAATTGCTGGAAAAGCCGAGTATTCGCACCGTCAAAAACCAGCGTGTAGCTCAGAGTCGGCGGGGCTGTTTATGGCATTTCAGCGTCTCCGAGTTAATATCTTCGAAGCTGTACGGGAATGGTGAAAGAGATTTCTGCAGCTCGGCCAGGTTGAAGCGCATGGTCGGCATCGAGAACGCTCGCATTGACGAGAAATTTTCCGAGAGATACGACGGGTCCTTGGGCTCTGCACGACGCTTGTTCAGGGTTACTCCGGATTCCACTCAAAACGGTGTAGCCGCCCAATTGGTCGAAATGGGCGATGGCTAGGGAGCTGAAAGACCACCGTTTTCACGATTATGCGGGCACTGGGGGGATTTGGCCCATGGTCTATTTTTACCTTCGGTAGAATTAAGATTCTTCTATCTGCATTTATGATCACTAAAGACGCTAAAGATATCCAGTTTTTTTAAGAACAGCCAGCACCTTGCACAGCATATCAATAGAGTCCTTCGTTTTTGGGTAAAACCCAATATTTCCAAAAATTTACACCCCGAACGTGTTTCTCAAAAATTGGGTTAACCAAATTTTTTCCCGAATTCGAAAATTTAGTTTTCCCGTTTTCCAAATTACTATTCCGGTCGAAAAATATTTTCTAGGAGACAAAAGGTGAGTAGAAGTGCATGCGCTCGCTCCAGACCTTGGAAATTCACCCAGATTTCGTTGGCTTCGGTGAAATGCAGTGGCAGAGCCCAGAAATGTCGCTTTTATGCGTAGTATTGAGTATTTGCCCCGCTTTGATTTCCGTATTAACTAGCAAACCAGCAAAAGGATAAAAAATCGTTCTCGCAACTTTGTTTCGAAAAAAAAACGGCATATTTTATTCCAGCCAGACTAAAGGGGCACTGACACCCCGAGGGTCGTATTTTTTTTTTATTGTCTAAAACGATGCAAGTTGTAGTCATCGACACGCAAAAAAAATGCATCGCAAAAAAAAGTTTTCTTGCACACGCGCACCTTTTTATTTTTGTTCTCCTCTGCCGCTTTTTGCCTCCTCGCTTCTTTTGATTCGTGACGTCAAAAATCAGGAAATTGATAAGCTTTGTAGGTGACACTTCTATAACATTTAATAACAGCAATAAAAAAAAACATGTTTTCTATCGCAATAGCGAACGCACTACGGCCCTTCTTTTTGAAATACCAAAAATCGGAGTCTGTTGCGGTGCCGCCTCCTGGATTTGTATCCTCCCTCGTAAAACAGGCGACACCGCTCAAAACTGTTTTGTTTTTCTTCAGTGGCCGGCGCTCCCTCCTTTCCTCCTCGCTTTGTGTCGCGATGGCAACAGCAGGGAGTCGTGAAAGAAAGTGGACTCTCGGGACTCTGCAATATTTGATGTCAACATACTGGCGTTGATTGCGCGGGAACTTTGAATTCGGCATTTGGAAATTGTTTTTTTACTTCACAAATACTGAATTCCCAAGTTTCAAATTTTGAGGGTAATGTCCCGGCATCGTTTTCAATCGTTTCGGATAATAAAAAAGATATATAATTTTGATGTGTCAGTGCCCCTTTAAAAAGATCTTGTTGCGCATTGGAAAAGTGAGTGGGAGCTGCAATAGGGTTGAGAGAATGTTGCCTTTAAAATGTCTGAAAACCAGACTATAATGGGTCAAAGGTGAAGAGGGAAAACTGCTCTCTCCAGCGTAGCAGAGCAAATGCTGGAGGTCTTCAGCTAACTTCACCCCTCACAGCCCCAAGAAGATGGAGTTTCCCTCTTTCGCGCTTCCTCGGGAGCATGGAGGTGTATCGTTTGATTGGTGCATTTCAACGAGAGTATGGGACCTAATTCTTTCCCCTTACTTCTTGTCAAACTTTAGCAGCGCGACAACAGTGGCGTCGCACCCTAAGGAACGGGACCCAGTTTCTGGTTAGCGTACCGACCAGGACCAAGTCGGTCGTCGTCGTGGCTTTGGAGGCTCGTCGAGTCGCCAAACGGGCACATTCTGGGACGACATCAATTCCGAAGCGAGTCTGTTTTTTGGCTCGTCGGAAACGGGCGGGCAGAGAAAATGGAAACCAATCGCGACAATGGCCGAGCAGGCCTGGACTTGGCCTTCCGATCGCCGATTTTTTTCTCAGTTTGCTCGCGCGGTCTGAGAGAGACGCATAAAATAAATTGTTTGTACCGGGCGATGCGAGGGTTCTCCGTAGCGCACCTATTTGAACTCTACAACGAAGAAAGCGGCAGATAGAATTGACGACCGTGTATCTGCGACCGGAGCATTCGTCACCACCGCTCGACGGTCCGAAAATGAGAAGGGGACGACGAAGGGGAGAGACGCACCTTCTAACCGGAAGATCTAGTCAAGCTTCAAACTATTCCTACGGAATGGGTCCACCGAAGAAAAAGGGGGGTTCGCGCAAACAATTCTATTCAAGGAGGCTGCGGGTCGTGGGCAGTGAGCGAGGAGCGGCTCGCTTGGCCTTCCGACCCACCTTGCCAGGCCTTTCCACCGACCCAAGCCGTCTCTGAAGTCGTCGGAATGCTTGTCGTTGCTTCCAGAACCTATGAATCGAGGAACCATCACCGATAATTGTAGTTTCTGGCATGTATTCTGTCTGTTTGCTGCTCGAAGTCGGGAACCGCGCGAAGAGCACGCAGAAGTAGGCTCGTTGGTATCCTCGGCCAAGTATCGAAGCAGCGTTGGCGGCCATGCGGCTATCGTAGGATTCCGTCGTAACTTCCACGCAACTTCCGATCGTTTCGCTCGGCGTATTCAGATTGGTTTTTCGGTTTCATCCTACGCACATTTTGCGTGATAGCAAAAACAAAATACACGCGGCGAACAGTTTCTGCTACTACGCGCAAAAGCGCTCGGCCAAAGCAAAGCGGGGAAAATACCCGGCCTCGTACTTGTCACTACGTGACCATGGAGCGATTGGGGCACTCCCGTCGGTCCCGCTGGGGGCTATATAGACCAACTCGTGTTTACAAACAAACGGGAGCACCCCTAGTGGTCGCCACCGGCACCCCGCACCCTCGGTGGAGTGTGGGCAATAAGCTTGCCGTCGCCCGTAAAAAAAAAAGGTGGGAAGGCGATGTTGTCGTCGTCGGTCTGAGTCCCCGTACTCTTTTCCGCGTTGGAATTGATTCCACCTCTTCCGGGCAACGTCCAACTACCTGAGTGGCCTCGGCAAAATTAGTGAGGCTCGGTGCGCCGCAGAATTGTGCGCAAATAATGTGTCCTGCTGCAATTCCTTCCGCGTGGACGGGGCAGAATGGGCGCCAAAGCCCGCTTCGCACCACGAGATTCTGCTCGCTATTTTCAGTCGTGACGTTGCTCGGGCTGCAAAAGCATGGACAGGAGCTGAGACGGTTGACGTCGATACTGAAAATCGGAAGCAGATTTGGAGCGAGTGAGTCGGGCATAACGAGTCTGTGATGGCCATTGGTAGCGATGGTCAACATCTCCTTGTATCCGCCGTTTACACCGAGCCTGATTACCCCAACCCACCTGCAAACTTAGCCTTCTGAGGCCTTTGCTCGCTTCTCGTCGCAATTACCGGGTCAACGTTTGGTCTACGGACCGCTGTCGTTTGAGAGAGCCAACGACACCGAGCAGGAATGTTTGAAAAAGGGGGCAACAGTTCGAACGATCGGGCAGCCATTTGAACTTGGATACACCGAACCGCATGCAAGTGGTCCGTAGAACTTGGCGGTTTTCCCACGCTCATCTTGGAACAAATCGAATAAGTCTGATGACCGCAAGTATCCGTGATTTCAACCCAAAGTGCTTCCCGCACTAGCAATCGTAGTCCGACGGCGTCTGGTTTTTATTTTTCGCAGCACCTGTCAACGTTACCGGACAAACCCAGCAGGCAGAAAACATACAAACTGACCTTCAAGCCTTTCCCGACTCTTTTGGCACAGCCCTAATCGCAGCGTTTTGAAAGGAACGCAGGTTTTTGTCTGGTTTCTTTCAAAAGAACGCGGGAATGCAGGTCCCACACGGCGACTTCTGTCAACAGCCCCAGACCAGAAGCGCGCCCGACGCGCCACCACCGCGCCGTGACGTAACAGAGCTGAGTTTGTGTATGAGATGCTGTGAGTCTAGAAGATTATGTAAGCAGCAAGGATTATTGTGAAAGCCCAAGTGAGCTCTTATATCATGTTCCAATAGTATTTTAAGCATTTGATTCGATTTGGAAAAAAAATAAAAATACATTCCATATATTTTGAAACATTGATGCTTAATTATAGTTGCCATAAAATCCCGAGCAAGCGCCCACTAAACATTTTGAGATAATCGTATAAAACTGGGGAATTCTTAGGTCAACAATATGTAAAGATGTGTCCTTTGTCTTATTTCCCGAACGTTACAAAGTTGAGGGGTGGGTGCTTGTTGTAGAATGGGCAGATGATCGGTATTTTACGGTACAGTGCAATCCACTTGTAACCATAATGAGGAAACCCAAAAATTCAGTCATTATAACCAATTATTGTATGTGGATAAGAAACTGATTCTTATACGCAGTACATCACTGTGTGGCATTGTTATTTATTTTATTTATTTATTTACAGAATACCTACATCGCCTCGTGGGCATTATCGTAGGGGGGGGGGGGGGGGGATCACGAAATAACAAATAACAGTGATTTTCACAAACAAGAAAAAAATACATCATTGTCTGAGATACTGACCAGCTCCTGTTGCAGCAGGTTCCAGTCTTTGATTGTTTGAACAAAAAAAGAACTACCAAAATTGTTTGTTTTATAACAGTACTCAAAAACCTTTTCAGAGTTATCGAACCGCGCTGACATGTAACTTGGTTTATACAAATACTCATTTCTATCAATGTCAGTTTCATTATAATAAATCCGATGAAAAAACTTTAACCTTAACTTATACCTTCTAGTGTTTAATGATTCCCATCCCAGCATGGCTTTTATTTTGTTGGTTGCACTGAATATCTTTCTAAATACAACCTGAAAAACCCGAATTCCGGGAATATTGTTTGAAAAACCCGATTTGTCCTGGATTACCAGCTTGGAACGAAGCGCCCTATTTTTTAAAGATACAAAACGCAAAAGCAAAGGACCCTACGTATGAACCGTGCACAAAACTCTTCTCGATGCAGTGAGTCTAGCTTGATGCTGGATAATGCCTTTGGAGGCATATCACTGTCAAATTCGGTGCTCGTTAACCCTTTCCCTACCATGGACGACTCGAGTTCGTCCACTCTGTTTGTACCGCTCCCCCCGAACACGAGCTGGGCTCGTCCACTTTGATTCGGGCTCCACTACGCTACCATGGGCCAACTGGGCTAGTCCACGTGTTTCTAGTGAGCTTTGCCATGGATAGATGCCACTTCGTGGAAAAAAAACAACCTGGTAAATTTTTCTGAATTTGGCAGATAATTGTTCCAACGCAGGCAACGGGGGATTTAAAAATGGCGACGTCAACTTCTGGTCGCTGCGTTCGTAGTGACGATCTTGCCTCAAAATTGCGGCGAAAACGAAGATATTGTGTTGTCTCTTCAGGTTCAGAAGACGAGGAAATGAATCTTTCATCGAACAGCGAGAGCAATACAACTCGGTTATTGGATTTGAGCTCGGAGGACTCCGATTTCGACGAGGACATTGTGTCGGCATGGACTAGAATCGGTGTAGAAAATCCCCCTCCAGCCCCTCCACGTTTTGCCTTCACTTTGCGTGCAATGTGATGTGAACTGTCTGCGGTAATGCAGTGAGGCGGAACTTTAGTCCCTTTTTCTTTTGCAGTGTGTTCAAAGATTTCTCATATAATAAATATTTTGGCATTTGTTTTTGGCCTTTGTATTGCATATTAAATTTATAGGGCACAAAAAGATTCTGTATTTTCAAAGAGTTTTTTTCAAACTTTTTGCGGTAGGCAAAGAGTTAAAGCTGCATTGGCCGACAGATTATATCCTTCATAGATTACACGTGAATGTGACCATAGAACATGGGGACGTATCGTACTTGAACGGTGTTTATGTATGAAGCTTTGCTAGTGTTTTTTGGTGCACAATCACAAGTGCTAATGATGTGCCAGACGTGGCTCGCCATTGAGAGCGTCTCGTTCATTAATACGTTCCGAGCCTGCAGCGCAAAAAGAAACCCAATTCGTCTTGCCTGAGGGATTTTTTTTCTTTTTTTTTTTATAAGAGTTACGGGAAAGGTGCGATAAATCTTTTGCATAGCTCCGACTGACCGCTACGAGCTAAAACAGAATCGTGCAGCCGAATTGCCTCGGACCAATATCTGGTTTGACGAGAGCAAAAGTGGAAAAGGTTTAATGTGCCACGGCAGCTGCGAGCATTCTATCAACTGTCTGAGCCACACTAGCTCCGTACAAGCACCCTTGCCAAGAGACAGGGTGCCAACGTGACCAGCAAGGTGAGTACTGGCACAGGCTGCTGCAGGTACGCCTCGCTCTGGGACGCCCTGGCGACCAGGCTGTGCTTTAGCAAGTCGCCCGAGCCCTTCTGCCTGGAAATGCAGCGGCCATTCTTCTCTTGGAGCTCCCCCAGGCAGCTGCAGTGGCTGAGGACGCAGCTGGCGCCCAGGTCGATGCAGTCTCGGTCCGAGTTGCAACGGGTGCGCAGCCCCGACGACCTCGGAAGACAGTTGCTCCAGGCGTCTCGAGCGTAGCCGTTGATGCAGGCGCACCAGTGGTGCACGGTACATTCGCTCTTGGGTTCGACGTTCTCGCACTGTTCGTCGTAGAGGCACTCGGTCTCGAGGAAGGCCTCCGCGCGGCACGTTGTGTGCACCGACTGCAGTTTGACGGGAAACAGGCTGTTGGTGCAGGCGCAACGGCTGTTGGCGCACTTGGCGTTGCGGGGCGCGCAGTCGTGGTCCGTCTGGCAGTCGTCCGTCACCCTGGCGTGCACGACGCTCTGCGCCGTCTGCATCTCGTCGTCGAAGAGGTAGATGCACTTGAAGACGTATATCTCCTTGAAGGTGGGGAGCTTGAGCACATTGCGAATGAGGATGGAAGAGGCCATGATCTTGACGCCCTTGTAGTCTATGGTCTGGATCCTGGACACGTCCACTTCGAACAGTACCCTGTCGTTCAGGGTCCATGAGACCGAGGCGTGCGTATTGTAGCCCACAAAGCACTCCAGCTGCAGTGTGTCATTTGTGGACAGGACCACGTGGGCCGGCCTGATCTTCACCTTTCCGAGCTCCATCGGGTGTTCGTCGCCCATTACCTTCTCGGAGCTGCTGATGTTGTGGACGTTCCCGGTGTTGTTCCTCGAGCCCGCTCGCCTAACTCCACCTGTCAGAGCAGGCTTTCCCACCGGCACATTCTTAATTACCTCGTCTAGAAAGCTATCCGGAGCGATTTTACTGGTATTGACTACCGGTTCTAGTAGGTCTGCCGCGTCCTGTATGACGAAGTGGTGCTTGGCTCGTGACCCCTGAGCTGTTTGGTTGCTTTTTGAGCTCGCATCGGGATGGCTTTCTTCCACTTGGAATGACACTCGACGTTGCCGAAACGGCAAGTTTGGCGCCGATGGGTTTGCTTCGACGTTTACGTCACCGTCGTGAATCCATGCGCCGAGGGCGCTTTTCAGCAACGCTGAAGACGCGGGGACCTGCGGCGCTTGTTCGGCCTTGAAGTCTTTGTTTGGACTGACGGGCTCATTCAGGTTGGCGTGCCCGGTGCAAATGGTGGAGGATGTTACGCTGAGCACGAGCAGCGACAGCATTGGGGTGGCCATGCTCACCTCCGGGAATATCATCCAAGAGGATTTCTCGGAGAGATTCGATGGTGTAGCGGTGCCACCGTGGATCCTTAGGATCACTTGCGCGTGCTAACAATTTCGCTGTGTATGCGAGATATTCACTGTTATTAATTTGGATGTGTAGATGGTTTTATCTATTCTGGTAGTCAAAATTCAGTACTCGCAATTCTGGCGTCGTCGGATGAATTCTTTCTAACCGAAATTGCCGCTGCTTTAAACGAAACCGTAACTACAAGCTCAACGTGTCAGTTTATTTTATATTGTTTAGGGCTGTCCCGAGTATTTACCAAACTAGTTTATATTATACCAAAGACACGAATACGTCTCCCAAGCTGCGCATCGAACTGGTTGAAATCGCCCAAGTACCATATTGCTATTCTACCTTAGTCGCCTTAGTGCTCTAGTTCTAGCGGCAAAAGAACTCCTGGCTGGCAACTTGCTTTTCTGCACGTTCGTCAGAAACTGCCAACGGGTAAGTTGGTGTGTGGCACCGCTTTTTTTAGGATCATTTCGTCCGCAATCGAGTCAAACAATTCGACTTTGAGAAGCTGAGGAAACGAGAGATCACGTGAGCACACCTAGTTAGTGTAACTCTCCTCCAGCGTCACGATATAGCTCTAATCTTAGAAAAGCGCGCGGCGAGAACGTCGCCGCTTTCTGTCCAAGCGCCGGGTTTTGGTAGTTTCACTATCGCTAGCTGCACGCTTCTACCACAAAACGGAAAGTTAAGCTATCCGGGTGAAATATTGGGCGTAAAAAAAGAATATTATCAGAAAACTGATTACTGGTCTGTTACGTGAGAGCTTGTTTGGAATATGTTTTAGTTCAAAATCCTCGGTGAAATAGGGAGATATTTTTTCTTGAAGTTGGGGGTTGTGTTGCGAGGGGAGCCAGTCCTTCCCAGGAAATAATATTTGCGATCTCTCATCGCCAGATTGGCCAGGGCGAGACGAGTGAAGGGACTGGTGATGGCCTCGCGGGTGATGCAGTATTCCCTCGTGCTCTACTTCCTTCACCTGTCGCTCACCTTAGCCATTCCCAAGGAGGAGCACAAGAGAGTTCACCAGCAGAAGGTGAGTCGAACAATTCCTCTTCCCTAATCAGGTATACATGCTGCTGCATTTAGTCGTAACAAGCCAGCAACCTTTTGAACCCAGATGGATCACAAAAAAAGTCAAATTTTTTCACGTTGAACATAATACTCCTTCTTTTAAAGATTTCACAGCCAACATGATATTTCTGGCTCCTTGCCCTCGTTATCTTACGTCCTACTGGTATGGTTAAAAGCCAGCGATATACTTTGCCACTCTGTCTTATGGAAACAATTTTTAATACCAGAGGGGCACACCTAATTGCAGTTACGCTTAAAGGGACACCGACAGGGTACATCTATGTATGCCAGGGTTTTTATTTGATCACGACTTGCGAGAGCCCAACTACCTAGAACACAATTTGCGGCTCGAAATTTGTATCTTTTCCGCCCAAAAACCGTCGGTCGAGAATTGGCCGGTTTCAGGCACGCTCACTCTCTTCACGGTCACGTGCGGTTCAAACTGATTCGTACCACAAAATGTTCCAAGGTGTGGGTCATCTAATTGTTCGGCATTAGAAATAGAAAAGATTATGAACCCATTTTCTGTGGCTTCCAAGAGCTTGCAGATGCAGTTCACAGGAAGTAGATTTACGTGTAATTCTGAATATGGCAACTTATCACGGGCTGGGCGATGCGACGGCAGCGCACGACGGATCTGGGACCGCTACTTGTGAACTGTGGTTGGTGGTACTCGGGGGAAGGGATAGAAGTGCGGAAGAGTCGCACGACAAGGGGTTCAAGCAACGGCCTCGTTGTCGTCTGCTAAGCGGAAAATACCTGGGTAGAGAGCGATGGTCACGTGACTTCCCACAACTTTGTCCTCCGAGCCTTCGTGCACATGCTTCGGTTGCGAGCAGTTGCATTTTTACATTGATTGGGTAGTCTTCTGACAACACCATACTGAATCACCTGACAAAAAAAAATATTTTTGGGGCTGTCAGTGTCCGTTAACCACCGCACAGTTAATACTCTTAGACAACATTCTGTGGCTATGCAGTCAAAGCTATGGGCACCCATGCGCTTCTGCATCAGGCGCCCATCAAACACTCTTCATTCCTTCTGAAATATAGCGTAACTGCGGTGTGCTCTGTTACTAGGATAGAAATGCTAAAACACGAGTAAGCTTTTCTGGACCTTTTCAAAAACGAAATTTCGTTTATTGATTTTACCGAGAAATCCGGCATTTCACGTATCTAAGGGTTCCAGCTAAAATCTCCGAGGCTCAAGCAGCGTGTATATGCCTTAACAAATTATTCAACTACAGATTTTAAAAAAAGCTGAATCTCAGCTAGAGTGAGACAACTCCCAGCTAGTTCAGAGGTGAACTGGACGGCTTGCAGCGTGACTTCGAGAAAGTTCTTTGAAACAGAAACCAGCGGGAGAGGTTTGCACACAAGTCCCGCTTTCCTTGGCCTTGAGTTGATATCTGAATGATAAGAGGGAGAGAAAAATGTAGAAAGTGCTTTTGAAATGTTCTTGCTGGCTTCTCTTCTGTTTCACATTTTGAGCACATTTTTCCAGATCACAGAAGACCCTCGTTGAATGGCCGTAAATTTGTCGTAGATACCCAGATTTTAGGGTCAGGTACTAGTTTTCTAATCCCAAGAAAGAAAAAATGTTAGTGTAATTTTCTTTTTTGTTTCGAACAGCTTTGTGTATATTTACCTAAAAAAATTATTATTTCTCCAGATAAAAAAAAAAAAAAAGTTCTTGGTTAGATTGTGAGAAAAGAGATGACATAAAAACACACACACACATTTATCATCCTTCAATGTCACGTAACCCTAAAAAAAAAAAATTTGATGCGTGCAAACAAATTTTTTTGCTAGTGTTTATATTTGTTTTTATCTCACTAAGGTGTAGTAGGAGAAGTTTGTCCCCATGGAGCGCTTTTTTCCCCCTTTATGCGGTGAATTAAGATACTTCTATGCGAATTTAAGATCACTTATTGGTTAGTTTATCAAAACACATACTTTTTAATGCAAAAAGCACTCTTTTACTTCTGTGACAACCGAATCTTATTATAATATTTTTTTGGGGGGACGACAAGGACGAGTAGAATATTTGGCGAGAAAAAGTGAGCAATTTGAATACTCGGGAATGGGACGTCTTGAATCGTCACCAGGGCCTTCCCACAACTACCCTTTCGAGATTGATTCGGGTCAGCGTAATATCAGTTGTTCGCTGGACAAAACAAAAAAAACACAAAATTTGTTTCGTGGGTTTTATTAGTTTTATCGACGAAGACGCGACTAGGACTGCTTATGATACCTCTCAGAGAATCCGAGTTTGGTTCGTAACTTATTTATTTATTTAGGAATACTACTGGCTCCACTCAAGGAGCCACGGTAGGAGTGGGTACAAAACATGTACACAAGATGCAGATTTATAAATGAAAACTCAATTAAGTATGAATTCGAGAGCAGATACAAAATTAGCAACAGTTGTGTTAACGACGACATCATTTGGTAGCTCGTTCCATTCTTGAATTGCCCGAGGGAAGAAAGAATATCCAAAACAGTCGCTTTTGAACCTGTATGGTTTTAACGCTCTTGCGTGGTTTAGACGTGAGGACCCGGTCGATAATGGTTGTATATAGTTAGAGCTTTGAACATGAAGAGTGCCATTACGAATATTGAACAACAATTTTAACCTATCAATTTTCGCTCTCATTTGCAACGGTTGAAGCTTCGCTCCAACAACTAATTCGGTGGACGATGTTTCTCTACGATAATCATTACAAATAAACCGAGCAGCTAACTTTTGGATACTTTCCAGCTTGTTAATACCGTTTAGTGTGAAAGGGCACTGAACTAGCATATTCGAGCACAGGCCTAATAAAACTTTTATAAGCAATAAGTTTAGTGTCAAAATCGGCATATTTTAATGTCCTACGACACGCAAACAAAGTGCCCCTCGCTTTGTTAACCGTTAATTCTGAATGCTGGTTCCAGTTCAGTTTATCGTTAAAAAAAAGTCCTAAATACTTGTACTCCTCGACCCGCTTTACTGGTTGTCCATCCAGTAGGTAACTAAATTGAATTGGCTTTTTTTAACGGAACACTGTCATGACGGCTGTTTTAAAAAAAATTTAACTTCATTTGCCATTTCTTAGTCCAACAGAGTATCTCATCCAAAGCCTGCTGCAGTGTAAGATTGTCGGTATGGCTTTTTATTGTTTTATATATAATACAGTCGTCGGCGAACAATCTAATCGGGACATCAATATTGGTTGGAATGTCATTAATGTAAATCAAAAACAAAAGTGGCCCAAGTACGGAACCCTGGGGCACTCCCGAAGTAACGAGCACTTTGTCCGAATCAACTTTGTTATAGTGGACATATTGGCTTCGGTTTGATAAATACGCGGTTATCCAAATTATAATTTGTGAGTTTTTAAGTACGTTGGAAAGTTTTGCCAGTAGCTTTGAATGAGACACTGTGTCAAACGCCTTAGAAAAATCTAAGTATATTACGTCAGTCTGGCCCCTCTCGTTAATGGCCTCAGCCAAGTCACGCGTAAATTCTACGAGCCGAGTTGTAATCGAAAGTGATTTCCTAAACCCACGCTGATTTCTATGTATTAGGTTATGCTTATCTAAGTGACGCGAAATATGCGCAAAAATAATATGCCCTAGCAATTTACACGTGGTGCTAGTTAAAGATATTGGCCTAAAATTTGATGCTGCACTCGAGTCACCCTCTTTATGTATCGGAATTATTTTTGCTGTCTTCCGGTGATTTGGTAATACTGCATGCTCAAGAGAAAAACGAAACAAAGCGTGTAAATACTTGGACATCCATTCTGCGTACCTTTTTAAAAAAGTGTTTGGTATCATATCCGGCCCAGTACTTTTCTTAGCGTCTAATTTACTTAAAACTAAGTTAAAAATTCCCTCCTGAGTTATAAAAATGTCACTAATTACATCCGCATCGTTCACTTCGAGGCTTGGGATTCGTGTAGAAAAAAGCTGCAAATCTGTTTTTTTTTTTGTTTTTTTTTTATTATAGTGGAGTCTTTGTTGGCAATGTACCAGGGAAGCCTAAATGATTCGTTGGAGGTTCTTGGAACACCGCTAGCTTGGGTTTAGAGTTCAAGCTTGTTATCCTCAAAGACATCCGAGTCGACAAAAACTTGGAAAAATAACTCGATAAAGGCAAACAAGTACAGAAGCACAGAATAACTACATATCCAGAAACGCTTTGCATATTTGCTACTCTGATGTGAGTCCAGTCGTTGATGCAGTTGTTGAACTTGAGTCGTGACGGAGGTTTCTAGTTGGGAGCCGCGGGGTGTCTCTGGCGTAGCTGAGCGAGAGCCTCGGTTGCAGCCGCTGAGCGACGAGCAGCACTACCGGGAGGGGGCCGAGCACAACCCGGACTACGACCACGATGCCTTCCTGGGCGAGGAGGACGCCAAGACCTTCGAGCACCTCACGCCCGCCGAGAGCAAGGACCGGCTCGGCAAGATCGTCGACAAGATCGACAAGGACTCCGTAAGGCCCCTCGGGAATCCGTCCCGGGAGAATGCGCTTCATTTGACCTCGGAGAATGCCATCCTGCAGCCGCTCCAAAAGGTTCCCGAATGACGTCTTGGGTAGAACTGCGTCGCTATTTATTCGCTTCAAATCGCATTCTATCCTCTTTTTTTTTAGAGTGAAAACTTCATTCTTACCACCCATATCCAGGCAGGGGATTGCTTTGAAGGATATACTTATCTTGACCTTAGTATTGTGTTTATGGCTGCATTTGTTTTATTTTAAATTATAAATAATGTTTGCTGTTTTGTTTTTTATTTTATTCGAATTCAGACGCTTTTATTTTTAGTTTTTATCTAAAAAAAAAATTGTACCATTTTTTTTTTTTTTTTTTTCCACTTTATGAAATGTGCAGAACCTCCATTCAGGCCGAGACCATGTGCGAGGTGTTTTCTTTTCTCGAACGCAGATATTTAAGAGAGAAAAAGCGGTGAAGTTACCCCAATGCGGTCTGTACAAGTGAGTGATACGGGAGGGCGGACATTACGCTCGAGAGTCAACGCAACTCATAGATGACTAATTAATGGAAATTCACTAATCACTTCTTTAATTAGATGTCTTAGGGTGCACGTTTATATTAAAGAAATGGAGACAATCAACAATGAAGGCCAGCCTAGCTTTTAAAAATTCTGGCTCAAGCGCGCAGTTTGAGTTATTTATCGCGAAATTTTGTTTGGAAAATCTGTCGGTACCGAAATCTAGACGCAAAATGCCTGCCCGTTTTGATCCGGATGAGCATTGTACCGGCACGCGGAAGGCTAGCGGTTGTACTGCACTGGCTAAATTACTCATCTACAGCTGGGAGACAAGTCGCCCATCGAGTCAGACTAAGTTCCGGGCTGTATAAGCATATGCGTAACTTTTTTTTCTTTCGTAAGCGCACGAAAGCGCGTCTTTTGGCACGAGCTCTTGGCATTGATAGGGCTACGACGTCGTCTTGTTATCGGCTATTTTTATTTTTCCAGAGAGTGCGTGCAGTGGGCATTGGATAACCCCCTAGGTTTGAAGTGACCCGTTAACTCTGTCTCGTCACTTCTCGCCGAGCACCTGCGCACTGCGGGGAAGCGATACCCGCAAAGCCCGCAAGCTCCGTAAGTATTTCTTCCCTGCAGTGCACAGGCGCTTGGGGAGAAGCGACGGGGCAAGCCCGCCGCAGAGCCGTGCCTAGCTCTGAAACTGGGCTGCACCTGGACGTCTCATTCTCCCGCAAAAAGATGCGAGAGACGAATGTGCCGCTCCAACTCCGTTCTGCTCGGACGGCAGATGCCGGCCCTCGGTGCCCGGCATACGAATTACGCGCCGTTATCGAAATGCCCCCCATGCACCGTAACTTCAATCACCGAGAGTTAAACCGACGCGCTGGTTTATTTTATTTCTAACTGCCACCGCCAGGGAATTATTCGCGGTTTCTGATTGGCCCCATTCGAGTTCGTGAAGACGTCCCGTAACACGCCCGGCTCGCTTTCGGCCAATGGTGCCTTCTCGTGTGCCTCGTATACTTCCTAGTGAACGGCCAAACACTATATACGGCTCTGGCCCGCCACGATCGACACTTCCAAATGTATGAACGTCGCAGTTCATCTCGAAGCAAATATCAAAAAGCGAATTAGTGCGAACTACTATTCGAAAATGCGGATGTTTGCACAACCCTAACCTGCTACCTATTATAGATGAATGTGTTATTCTAATGGAGGAGTTGAGTTCTCGTTTGCAAAAACGCCTGGCTGCCAGTTGGTCGTGACTCCAAGCAGCTGCGTGGGTCTTCTGAGAGCGTCTTCGTTGGAAGGGCACTCCTTTCAGTTTCCATATGTTGAGAATGTGTGTGCCCGGTGGGGCTGCAACAAAGCAGATCTGGTAACAATGGAGGCCTCGGATATAGCTGCCCTTCACTTTGAAACAATAGCCCCCTTCTGCATTCCAAGAATATGTCTCTTTGTTGAACTAATGCCTCAGAAATCTGTACATGGGCCCAAAAGCAAATTTTTTATTTATTTGTTAAAGGACCTTAAAGGCACGACATAAGGGAAAGCTGGTCAAAAAAGACACGCAGGAAGCAGCGTTGGCTAGAAAGAGGAGTTTCTCGAAATATTACGGGGAAACATTGGTGAATAACAAAAAATACCTCACTCACGAATTGCAAAGTAAACCAAAAAAACAACTAGAGAATGGCCGCATCACTCTAAGTTATCAGGATCACCTAAGGAAGATGCCAAAGAGAAAACATTGGACGACGTTCTCGGGATGGCAATTCCGTGCCTCAATGGCTTCAGGTTTTGCTGAACGAACAGGAGGCTGGGAACCCAGGTCCTTGCACGAGAGGATGCCCCTTGGGGCGGACACAAAGATGGGGAAACCGCCTGACTGTAAAATATTTCTTTATTTTCGATTAACAAAATAATGAATCGATCAATTTCGTTTACCCCCAGCAGGGGCTGTGCTAGGTGTGGGGTTTCAAGTATAAACCGCATGTACGCGATTTGGCGAGCAACGAGACGAGCAATGGCGAGCCACTTTGCTGTCGTTCGGTCAGTCGCACGACGAGGCCAACCGCATGAAAGCGACGAGAGCAAGCAACATTTTCTAGAAATCCAAAAAATGAGCGACAGAAACCTCCGTTGCTGGTCTTGTCACTCGCTACATCGGTTACATGCGGTTCAGCCTTAAGTTCCTGAAGTGAGAAAGTCGACTAAGAAACTCTCTGGTCCCTTTCCGTACGGTCCATGAGATATTTGTGCATAGACTGCAAAGCAACGAAGCGCCCACCGTAATTGTCCTGATACGAGTAGACCAGTAAATGTTGGAATTGGGAAAGGTTGTGAAGGTTCCACGCTATAGCCTTAAAATGTTGCGGGTCTACCTAAAGAGGGAACAAATGTCGGTTGACCGATGGATGTAACCCCTTGCCCTCTAATAATGTGCGCGACTCGTGCCACCCTTGACGGCCCATAGGGCCTGGCCACGAACGTGGCTCGTGTTTCGATCTCGGCACTTGCTTAGCACCCTCCCCGGCATTGTTGCTCTCCTTGGGTTGTTGGCTCCTTGGTTTTGCTCTTGGAAAATGCTTCATTCGGCCAAGGAGAAGAAAAAAGTGAGCGCTCGTAAGCGTTTGCGCCAAAATGACGTGGCTTAGGCGCAGAGGTCCGCTTTAGCCAACAAAGAGCTACGAAAACTTCTTTTTGAAAGTGACAAATGCTCGGGCATCAGGGAGAAGAAGAAGAACCCGACACAGGCATGCAAAGTATGCACAGCCAACAAGGAGTGAAACAATGTGGGAATGTGCAAGGAAGCTCTCCGCCTTGCTGCATGTTTACAGTGCCGTCACACTGTGAAGAACTACTCAAGGGGACCAGAAATTCTGACTTTGAGCAGGAGACCACGTATGGAAGTAGAGGAAATTTTTTTTATCTTATCTCGATGCAAATTGCCCGTTTATAATGGAAGTTTTGCCATCCATTCCTCGAAGCAAACGGTGAGTAGGCAGGGGGTTGTGTCCCCTTCTCAACTTTGTTCGGCTTGCATCCAGGTGCAGTCGACGCTACGAGGTGATGGGGCCAATCAAGCAGACTCAAAAGTGAAAGTTGTTAGGAACTGTTTATTAATGTCGCATTCTTGCAACCAAGAAGACTGAGTACTCAGTTTGAGTCTCACGAGCTTGCCTCGACGTGCGAGGTCGCGTTGCTTCCCCTGTGTACGCTGTTCATTGGCCGACTGCCCCTGGCTGCTTGCGCGTGATACTCGTGCTCCCCTTCGGTGAAGTGGCGCCCTCCTGGGTTCGAGATGGGAACTTGTCTACAAAAGTCACTAGGCCTTTTCTGTTCATCACTCGTTCACTGTGGGTAGAACAGGAACTACACCACTATGGTGCACTTCTGGCGCTCTCTGATTGGTTCCATTAGCTCGTAGTGTCGGCTGGACTTGACGTGAATTTTTTGCTAAATGCTACTCAGAATCACTTCCTAACGTCAGTAACCGAATAAACTTGCCTCGATCTTCCTTTCTAGGCAATGCACTCGCCGAAACAATGCGAGAAATATTGCCCCTCGAGTCGAAGCCAGAAAAAAGGCCACGCGGCCTGGTGACTGTTCTGTGCCGCCAAAGTTAACCGTAACCACGCGCTGGGGTCGGCAGGCGACGAATGCACGGCTAATGGACGGCTCCCCGTGCAGGATGGCTACGTGACCCAGGAAGAGCTGGAGAATTGGATCCGCTTCACCCAGAAGCGCTACATCCGCGACGACGTCGACAAGCAGTGGAAGGTGTACAACCCGCAGGAGAGCAACCGCATCTCCTGGGCGGAGTACCGAAACTCCACCTACGGCTTCGAAGAAGGTTTCTTTGGCCTCGTCCTCTTCTGTGCATGCGTCGGCTTTCGGCTGTGCCGACAGACCACTGAATTTTTTGGCCACCGTTTAACCTCCTTGCGCCGTGTCGGGTTACAACGTTCGGATGGGGTAACAGAATCATTCAATGTATTTAATTGGTTCCACCGAAAACACTTCAATTTTTATAGTTTTTTTTTTTTTTTTTTTTTTTCTAAAATTGTGCAACATATGTCCCAACCCAACTTTTTTTTTTTTTTTTTTTTTAGCTCTTATTTGAGCTTGGGAGCCTAAATATGTGGCCTCGGGCGCTCCGAGTACTTGATCAAAAGGAAGGAATGAACAGTGGTGCCATTCTAGATGGACGGGGCTTGTGCCGTCCAGCCAGCATGTTTTGAGAGCCGCTAAAGTTAAAGAGTCCTTCCAAGTTAGTTACTTTAGCTAAAAGTTGCATTATAATTGTACGAGGGTTACAGTTGCTCGCAGAAACGAAGTTCGTCGCAATATCTTGTCAAATGTCTCGGGATGATCAGATGCATAGTTAACTTGTCATTGCTCAAAAATGGCTCATTTCCTAGCGCATAACAAATCTTGGCACGGTTCTTTTTTTTACTCCGCACTACGATCGGAGAAGCGTTTACGACGGTGATGACATTTAATGTTCACGTTGAAATCCAATCGCTGGGAATTTGAGTCCACAAAAGCTTAGCTGCGTTACACTCGAATTTGGGTGTAACTTGGAGTATTTAGTGGCTAGAATTGTAACTCTAGCGTTTAGTGAGAAGGGCAGAGAGGAGCTCCGCTTGATGCGGCCAAAGCAAGAGGCAACCTTGCTGGAGGTCGAGCCTTCGGAAGGCACGCCCCGCCGTTCTCCCTCCGTCGAAGACCCTTCACTCTCCGCCGCACAGGCGCCGCCATCTTTGGAATCGCTTGACACGGCCGCCATCAGCTGGCTTCAACTTGTCGCTCCGTTCTCCCCTCCGCGCCTTGGCAAATGCATCGTATTCGTGTCGCGTTTCCTTTCAGTTTTTTACCTTGCTCGGCGAAGCATCGCACGATGCTTGTCGTTATTAGCCAATTTGCACGTCGCCGTTATGTGCACAACTTCTGCGCTCGATTGTATAACACGTCTTGACTGTTTTTGTCGTTGGCGTACCGGATACGTGTGCGGAGGCTGGAGGAGGCGCAGAAATGGGCGTTAGCATCGATGCACCTTGAGGATGTAGGCGACTCTAACGGGGAATTTCCCGGGTGGATTTGGAGCAGTTTTAGAGCACTTTTTTGTCGGTATCTTCTCGGACGTACGAGCGTATCTACCCCACGAAAGGCACCAGCTGCTTTGGGATCCCTGCAGATCCCCCCAGGGAATTCCACACAGCACGAGGGTTGACGGGTCAACTATTTGCGACGATGCAGGTTTTTCCAGTTCACTGTCATTATCCTCGAAGACATCCGTCGGACGTATTACGTGAGGCTAAAAAATATAGCGATAAACTTAAGGCAAACAAGAACAAAAAGACACGGGATCCTACATATCCAAAAACCTTGCACTTGGGGCAGAACGAAACACGGTTACTATGAGCTGAGTCGGGGAATTCCAGTTGTTGGTGCATAGCGAAGGTGGGGAAAATGGGTGCCTGATTGGAATGGCTCAATTTGGAGACGACGCCCAAGGGAGAGGAGCGCGTAAGGAAGGTTAGGAAAGAAGCACGGCCGAGACAGTTTCCTATGGGCAGGCTCTGGATTAACATTTCAGTTGGGACACGCTCATGAGGGGAAGTAGAAATGAGGGTTCCAGATTATGTTTCCGTATTCCAACTCTGATTAAATGAGTGTTTCATAGGCTGTAAGTTTAGTAAGAGTTCAGGGATGGTGGCAAACACTCGCAGTAAGGGCAAGGTGTACCTATGGATCTCAATACCCGACAAATATAGAGAAAAGCATCGGGCTCTGCCTTTATAACGAGTCGAAAGCAGTTGCTTTTGAATATAGTCGCTGTTGCTATAGAAGCATTTGATTGATCGGTTTCTTCATAACTATACATTGTGTTTTGTCCCATGTCCAGAGTCACTCGAGAGCTGTAATTATCTTCTTTAAATGTCTAATGAAATTAATTTATTTAAACGCCGAAGGTGGGACACCTCAGGTGCAAAACGTGTCTCGCGCGGCTTGTGTGCCCATCAGGTACGGAATATGCTGCGCCGAAAAAAAGCCTTCTGCAAAGAAATCACCCGAGTGTAGCGTCATATACATTAGATTTACTTTATGCAGCTGGCTACGCCCCTGAAAGTAAAAAGGGCATCTGTCGAAATAAATAAATGTCTAAATTAACTTAAAACTAAAGAAACACACGTCGTTTGTGTGTTTCTTTCGTTTTAAATCAATTTGGATCACCAACACGCTCGAGTCTAAAAAATATCTGTTTACACAGATCCACGAGCCTGGCATTCGACTTGAACTAAACTTGCCGGAGGTCGCTTCTTTCGCACCCTTTCCTTTCGTATCGCAAATTTTACGAAAGACTCGCGTCAGACTTTACTCGATGGGTCTGTCACTTATCTCATATTCTGAATATGTCGTAAGAGAATGTCTGTATAACAAATAGATTATTTCCCAAGTCCAACCTTTTCAAATTCTGCGAGTACTTTAGCGGAGCCAACGGTCGAAATGCTTTCCTACTCGTCCCAGGATGTACCATCAAAACGTCTCTCGAGTCCTTCATTTATTAAAAAAATAAAGAACAAGCGGAGACAATATTGCTTCCTTTCTCTGATGTATGCGTAGTTAAGAAGGGTTTTCCAGTTGGCGATGTTGGAAAAAGTTGGTGTCTACGAAAAATGAAACGGTAATCACCAAACTTGCGAGTTGATCCTGCTCTCCGCGACGTGTTGTTCTTGAGGCGACTTTCTTTCTCACCGTGCGTCAGTATTAGTTTATTTTTATGGAAACTAGCGCGAGCAGGTCTGGCTGTAGACAATGGTAACCCCGCATCAGTTCGGTCGTTCCGCCGCCAAACCTGGCCAAATGACGAACACAGCCGTGTTGGCAAAAACGTTTGCAATGTAGACTCCAAATGGTAGTTGTTAAAGTGCACCAGTGCATCGATAGAGACAGGTTGGTATCGCAAAAGGAAGTGAAAACTATGTAACGCAGCCACGAGCGTGCCAAAACCCACCAAATCGAAGCCACCTTAGGACAGCGAGTGTGTCCGCGCCCTCTATCCGCCGGTCGGGTAACTACCGAGACGAAAAGCTCCAAACTACGAGTTGCGAGTTACATAATTACGCAACCCGGTAAATATTGGCCGCCTGGCGGCTCTGCATGTTCTTCCGATTTTGTGCGTAAAACAATCGAGCGACGAGAGCATCGGTGGAGGGGCAGGAAAGCGCAGTTGCCCGTGGCAAGCGTGGCCGTGTCCTTTTGAGGACGACCCCCGTGCCGAACGCAGGGAGCGACGGCGACGACTCGGACAAGGACGAAGACGGGGCGACGTTCCGGGACATGGCCCGCCGGGACAAGCGGCGCTGGGACAGGGCGGACAAGGACGGGGACGGCCACCTGGACAAAGAGGAGTTTGGGAACTTCCTGCACCCGGAGGAGAGCGAGGACATGAAGAGCGTCGTGGTCGAGGAGACCATGGAGGACATCGACAAGGACCGGGACGGCAAGATCTCTCTGGACGAGTACATCGGTGAGCGTCTAACTTCCCTTCGCGGCCACTCTTTCGCGCGGCTTTTGTTGACTCCCTTACAGCGAGGTTTACATTGGGTCCTAACACACGGCCAGTGTATCTCTCTAATACAGTTAGGTCTTCTCGAATCTTTTTTCTAGATTGGTTCGAACCGCGGGTTCTTTTAGTTCCAAAATGTGCCGTGCACAGCTCGAAGGAATGCTGCTGCCGAGATTTTTAGGTTTCACCGCATAGCTTATGGCCTGCGCCCAGGTGAGACACATTTGGAGTTCCAATTGGGACATTTCTCTCAGACCGAGTTTCTCCTGATCCCATGAGCAATGTTGAGCCCTCTGTGGAAGAGATCCAAAAGAGGAGGGTGCGTCTGCGGCCGGTGCAGGGGACATGTACGGCGGAGCGGGGGACGAGGAGGTGGTCCCGGAGTGGGTGCAGAACGAGAAGGAGCAGTTCCAGAACTTCCGGGACAAGGACAAAGACGGCTTCATGAGCGCCGACGAGGTGCGCGACTGGATCATGCCCGTCGACTACGACCACAGCAAGTCCGAGGCGCGCCACCTCGTCTACGAGGCCGACAAGAACAAGGTGCGTTCTACGCGCACCCTCCTGCAGCTCCGGGGCCGCCGAGGATTCCGTACATATCGGACGAGTTCGGCCCTGTCTATCGATAATGCCGACTAAAGCGTAAGGTATAATAGACCCTTTTAGGAATACCGCGCCATCTAGCGGCGCCCATTCCAAACTATGCGCACTCGCCGGGAGTGGCCACGTGCGCCGCTCGGGCGGGGTTGCTGCCGCCATTTATGCGATATACGGTCGCAGAGGCCGGCACTCTGTAATGCCCTCATCGCGCCTTTCCAGGTGCGTTTGTATTGCTGCGCGACACTGTGCAACCAGAAAGGAGTGAAGGGTAACCTCCCTGAAGAGAGGGCGAGATTTACTCTTCTGCTGCAAAAATACGGCTGTCAACAAAAATTGCCTTCCTCTAAGCCACAGTTTGTTAAGTGTGGGCTCCCTAAGCTTAAAACTAATTGAATGAGGATATGCTCCTGTGCACGAAGATTCCTTGTGACAGCTCGCGCAGTAAGAACTGTCGTAGCTACGAGGACACGCGCATAGCTCCCTCGAGGATACTTTATTTCGGGCGTGGCGTACGAGCGATTCTGAAATTTGGGTACTGTCTCTTTCCAGGTGTCCCATTGTATTCCTTCCCGAGTGATTGATTGTTCGAAGCAACCGAGAAATCGTTATAAAACTTGGGGGCAAAACGTAATAGTGGGAAATATACGGGGCTATAGGCTGAAGCAGTTCGGGCTGGCTACGTCTGGGACGTTGCTGGTAGCCGCCGCTTCTTGATGCAACAAGCTGTTCCAAGTACACTGGAAACGACTTAATTTTTCGCAAGAATTTATTTTTTGCGAATTTCAAGTTAAAGGACAGATGCAAAGAAAAAAATGTTTTTTTGTTTTAGCATCCTGGTTGGGAAAAGGAAGTCATAAAACAAATTTACGACGAAAAAGAAAAATTTTTAGAGCTAGATTTACGGCGGGATACGAATTTGTAGTTGGCGTTTGCGGGTGCCGCTGAAAAGTGGTCTCTATTTGTCACGTGACTGGTCCTTATTTGTCACGTGGTGCTTGCGCTCTTTCGGAAGCTTCGTATGGCCTCCAGAAGTAATTTATTCATCTTTGTTCGAAGTATAACAAAAAACTAATATTAATAGGTAACTTTTAGAGCCCAAAGGAAATTCCCGAAAAAGCGCGAGCAGATGCGATAGACCTGTGCGCCAGTCAGACGACGGCAGGGGCACCTCGAAGCAGACGAACTTGTGCGGCGGCGGTGAAGGCGGCGTGGAGAAACGGGTTGAAGCAGCGTCGCACAACGCTCAGCGTGCGGCGACGGCGTGACTTTGCGGCGGCGGCGCGCAGGCCCACCACATGGCCAGCGGCGGCTCCCACAGGCGCCAACTACAAATTCGTTTTGCGATGTAAATATAGCTCTATAGTCGGCGACAACTTTTCTTGGCAATGCAGTGGAAGGTAGAGGCCCGCGTCCCCTCTCCCATTTTGAGTGTACGCAGGCTCTCCTCCTCTCCCCGGAAATGGGGGAGGAGGAGAGCCTGCGTACACTCAAAATGGGAGAGGGGACGCGGGCCTCTACCTTCCACTGCATTGCCAAGAAAAGTTGTCGCCGAGTATGGTTTTTTTTTTTTCTTCATTTTAAATTTGTTTCGTAATATTCTTTTTCCATCTAGCCTGTTTAAAAAGAAATAGTTTTTTTCCTTTACACGTGTCCTTTGAGAAATATCGCAAAAATAAATTGCGCGAATAAATCACTCTACAGTAAGGAATACTAAGCACACCCACAATTGCAAAATATTGTGCGCGGCAAATATTTTCGAAAATCGCACTTTGAAAAATTTGCGAAATATCGAGGCCAGAAGATGGTGCTCTTTGCTTTCAACTTTGCCGAAAGTGCCTAAGAAGTGTCTAGGACTGCCCTTTATACACGTTGGCAAATCCGGCTTCAGATTGCTGCCATCTTGCTCGGCGGGGGTGCATTTGGACGCATTGTAATGCGATTGCAAAGCCTCGCTAAGACGTCTTCGTCGGATTATGGCCGCACCCAAATGCACACCAACTGAACAAGATGCGGCGACCTAAGATCGGACTTGCAAACGTGGATGCTGCTGCTCCCGAAAACGCGACGAGGGACGCAACCGTGCAATGTCGGCAGCAATGTCCGGACGAGCAATCGTCAGTGTGAGCCTCATTGCCAATGCGGGCACAAAGGAGACTCAATCGCCGACGTGGACGGCATCGCCAACAGAAATACGACACCTACTCAGTTGCCGATGTAGAAGCGAAGCCGCAAAAACAAGGTCGCCATTTTGTGCGAGGGTGCCTCCATGTAACTTTCAGTGACAAACTTGAACTGCGCCTTCGGTCGCTCGTCTTGTGGGCGACGTACTTGTCACCCACTTTATCCGTAGTGTGCCAATTTGGGATGTCAACCCAGCTCCTGGTCCACAATAGCGAATAGGGACCAGCGTCGGTGGTGCTCGCGATCGGATACCACATGATGGCAGCGCCTCCCGCGATCCTGGTGACCAGCCGCACTTTTGAGCGCCGTCGAGGCAGTGGCTTATTGTTGCCAAGAACAATCTGGGAAACGTTTTGTGGCTCGCAAAGAGCTAGGCCCGACCCAGAGGCCTCATACCCGTAGCATCGGCCCTCGAAACGCCGTACCTGCGCGGCCTTGCCCAAGTCCCACGTCCGGGGAGAGAGAATGCGCCATCTTTTATGACCGATCAGCGAGGAGGTTTCTCCCAGCCACCGCTGGAGGACGCCGAAGTGCCACCTGTCGGCCGGAAGGGCAAGCGCAGGTTGGGACGCAACTTTGCTCTCCCGAATCGCCCCGCGAGCACCAGGCCGGGGAGACGGGCGTCCTCGTCGAGCCGTATCGTAGTGTCTAACAAAATTACTCGCGGTCTGTTTTTAATGCTTCGGCACGAGTGCCCCGGTTCATGCACCGACCTTGAAGTGATTTTCTGGAGCGCACGTATATAAAGTTTGCAGCGTCGCCACGGGATGGCGCCGCAGCCTCACTGGTTGTAGAGTAACTGTATAGGCTCTGCTTGCAGAGCCAGAGTATCGCGTTCCTTTTCCTTTCGCCGCCATCTCCGCATTGGCGGAGGAGTGGTCACGTGGGCAGAACTGGATGCGACCTTCGTGCGGGAAAGCGGCCTTCCAGAGCGCCGCGTTTCGGGGGCAACATATTTTCCGCTTTGCGTTCGCAAAATATAGATCCTAGTCCAAAATCGAACGAACCGAAAGCTTCCTAAGTCATTGAACATTATGTGTATCAACTGGGTACAGTACAACCCCGTTCTTTATAACGTGAGCGATGTTTTGGGACATCCGTTTTCAAGGTATGTGAAGCAGACGACACGGTCGACGATCGCGTTGCTCGCGTCTGCGGCTCTCGCGGAGTGATACGCGATACCGATACGCGACCGGCACATCCGGCTATCTTGGCTAGTCGGCGAGCTCCCGTTTGAAAGCAGGGGGTGCGCTTTTTGCAATCGAGAGGGAAACAGGAAGCGGAGGGACAACGATCACGGCGCATACGCGGCTCGTCGCCGCACTATTTTCCTTCCGCAGCACGCCGCAGCCAACGAGCTTGCTCGTTGGCCGCAGCCTGCCACAGCACGCCGCCTCGCGTCTGCGCCTTCGTGCCCCTGCGAAAACCAACCGTGGCTTCCCGCAGTGCTTGGCTCCAGAATGGCACCATTGCGGTACTCTGCTCCGCAAGCGGAGCATATAAGTTACTCTAACTGGTTGTGGAAACTGGCTAGGAAACACCTTCTGGTGCGCATATTTTGACAGGCGATAGGACGCGTAGCGACGGAGGCCGCACTGGACTGGCTGGTTGTACGGAGTGATGCCGCGACGTGACACCTAGCGACCGAAGATTGCCGGCAACGTCCCCCTTGGCCAATTAGGGTGCTGCACGGTGGGGGAGGGTGGGTGCATCACTGGGGCGCGTGTTAACCTACCCTGTTTACACGAGAAGGTCCGCGGATGGCTTATTACAAAATATTAACCCACTCGAGGCACACGCTGCCTCGCGGCAGTCCGCCGGCGGCCCAAGTACGCCCCTCCCCACTGCACCTCGGTTGCGTTACGTCACGCCGTCGCTCTCTAGAACCAGCCAATCGTGCCCAACCGTCGTCCTTCATGCACGCACTAACTGATCTGCTCGCAGCAGGGAGAAGAGGGCTTTCGCAAATGGTTGCCCTGCACAAAAGGGCCCAGAGGCTGCGTTCACCGTGCTTCGTTAACTGCCCCACGAAATGCTTACGCATTTCTTCGAGAATCAGTGGGGCAACGGCGGTGATTTCGGCCCATTTTCTATTTGCAGAGAATATGCAAACCGGTCGTCTTCTAAGCTGGGTAGAACTGAAAGGCACCAAGAAACACGGATGTTTTCGACGGTTCAAAGATAGCTGAAGCGTGTAATGCCCTGCCACCACCAAATTTACGTCATTTCTGTAGAAGGACGTTATCCAATCGGCCAATCGGCACGTGTCACTCCCGGCGCAGCAGGGCCCACGTGCGACGCTCCTAGTCGGGATTCTGAGCCGATTGGCCGATCGCTCGGTGTCATTAGGGGCAAATGGCATTAAATTTTGCCGCGTGGCGGGGGTATAACTATCCAACATGTCGTATTGTTGCTGCAAATAGTATCGCTCGAATTTGTTTTTTTTAATTCAAAACCCTTTGTTGTAGTTTGATATGCAGGGACGTAAAATATCTGCGTGACTCGCCATATTAGTCCGGAGGCGGTACCGCATTGACTATTTGGAATTTCAGTCGTAACTGCCAACAACACAATTGGGGCTCTCGCTTTTCTTTTCTCGGATGGTCGAAAGAGTGGCATCTAACTGGCGGGGCATGCTTGTGTGTGGTCCCAATTTACGGAGCTAATTTGTTCGCTTTTGGGGCATTCAGTGTCTAGCTGGTGTAAGCAAATTGCAGCAAAGCTCCGACGTAACGTCCGGGGCTCTGGTGTGCATTGTTAGA